TATTGTACTTTCAGGATTTTAATATAAACTATCTAACTAAACTATCTGTAACTAGAGGTGAATGAGGTAAACGTTACTGAATTGGTATCTTCATCGACATTAGATTCGGGAATAGTTGCCTTTCAAGTAGTAGTAGTTCATTTAATTTGTCTTTATTTCTGAAACTCCTCTCTACCCATCATCTCTGTCCACCTCACTCCTTGCCAAGCAAGGAAGAGTAATCCTTAGTGTGTTTCTGATTTAGTTGTAAAGATACAGATTTTTTTTTTTATTCTATTTATTTGCAAGAAAGCGTGCTTGAGAGAGCACAAGCAAGGGGAGTGGCGGAGGGAGAGGGGAGAAGCAGGCTCCCCGCTGAGCAGTGATCCCGGGACTCAGATCATGACCTGAGCTGAAGACAGACACTTAACCGACTGAGCCATCCAGGCGCCCCAAGATACAGATTTTTAAAATAGGAGGATGTGGTTCTTTTAAAAAAACTAGGAATTTGGGCTTTTTTTACCCTCACAACATTGATTTCCTCTTATCAGATACAAAGATGAAAGCGATTATGCCTTACGTTACATGGAGAGTAGTTGGAAAGAGCAGCAGAAGGAAGAAGCAAAGAGGTAAGCACAAAATTTAATACATTTGTGCAGAAATATCCCGAACATTCCTTTGTTTCCTGCTTTAGTTGCATGCACCATTGGGAGCAGGGGCTTTGGGCCACACAGTTCTAAATTCTAATCCTGCTTACTTGCTGTGGGGCTTTAGACAAATTACTTAGCCTTTCTAAATCTGTCTTATTTGTAAAATGAAAATTTACCATTTCTACTTATTGAGGTACTGTGTTAAGATACTATATTCAAGTTGCCTGGTGCAGTGCCTCACCATACAGGGACACAGTAAGTGCTGGAAGCCTCCTCTGATCCCGTTGCAATGTGTTCTTGTTTCTATTTCCCCGTCTTTAATTCCCTTTCTACATCAGACACATCTCAGTCCTGCTGTACCACTACTGGCCTTAGGGATCTGAGAAGGGATATAGATCCTGTCTGATTCCTGTTTGACTACCTAATAAACTAGTGATAATTGCTTTTCTTTTCTTTTCTTTTCTTTTCTTTCTTTCTTCTTTTTTTTTTTTTTTTTTACTAGTGATAATTTCTTGGGTTGGGGCAACAAATGATTATTTTTATAGTGTTAACTTGCTAAAAAAATTCACTTCAGTCTCAACCCAGAATATTAAACATTTCTCCCTCTTGTGTTCTCCTCTTAACTACATAAAATACCCAAATGGTGGGAAGGGATAAGAATAGAATGTTATTTTATATATTGAATAAATTTTCTTCCTCTTTATTTTTAAAAGCTGTTATTATAAGCAACTTATATTTCACTACTTTAATGGGAATATTAAGGTATTTTATGTTGAAGTTTTATATGAGGTCTTTTTTCTACTGTAAGCAGAGTCAGTGGCAGAGATTCCTAGTAAAAAATATACCTGCTAGTTTGTTTTCAGTGGTAAAGCCTTTAGGCATTTTTAATGCATCAGCACATTCCATATGAGCTCCTAGTTGAAATTTCATTCTTAATTTTTAAAGAGAGTGGTAATTTCATGTATCTTGACACTTTTTTTTTTTTTGACAGTTTAAGACTAGGTATGCAGGAGGACTTAGAGGAAATGAGACGTGAAGAAGAAGAAATGAAGCGTCGAAAGGCCAAGAAGCTGAAGAAGCGTTAGCTGCTGCTTTTATTTATTTTTGTGAAATTCTGGAGACACTCTGCTGCAGGGAGGTCCTGCCTTCAGAATGAAGAAGCCCCTTTATGATTTTAGATTTATACTTGGGTACTCAAGGAGAAGGAATGCGTAGGTCATTTGCAGGCTGTCATTGGATCATAAAGTATTTTCAAATACTTTCCAGGGTTTAATCTGTAACGCAGGTGATAGACTATGCCCATTTGAGTGCTCTTACGAAGTTAACTGTTCACAGGTGCCAGCCTTGATCCTGATGAGCTATGCACTCTAATGCGGGGCCACTCACCAGTCAGCCAATCTTTTGTTCCTTTGCTACTTTGGAAAGGAAAAAAAAAAAAAAAAGATTGCCTCTTGACTTCATAATTCTGCTGATGTGTGAGTAGGGCACCGCCCCGCTCCCAATCAAACTTACTCTGTCTTTTAATAAGGAACCTGGCCCTTCTGTGAATGTTGCCAGCAATAAAGTGACCTGTCCTAAGCTATATGTTTGGATTGAGAACTTGAAAATGTAGAGTAGGCTTTATAATTATCGTATGGATGTCATCTCTGTGACTTTGAAGTAAAAAGTAGAATAAATTATATTGTATTCTGCATTATTCATGGATTGGATGCTGAGCATTCTTACTCATTAATTTAGGTGATAAGGCAATTAACAAAAAGTTCTTTTCAAGTTAAATACAAGTTATGCCATTCAGTTTAAAAATATTTGTTTCCAAGTTTTCCTTTCAGATTTACTGTTATGTTGGTTTTAGTTATAAAATAGACAAGGTCACTGTGCTGATTGATTTTTATCTAAAAAATTCATTTTTATATTGAAAAATGCTTATTTTATTCAAACATTAGATTTGGAAGAGTAATAGTTTAAAAACTGAGGAAGTGACATGTGAGACTCCCCTCCTCCCTCCCTTCCCTCATTATACAGATATTTTGGGAAAAGGTGCCCCTGTACCTCTTGATATTGACTGCGTTTTATCTTTAATTCTTTAGCATTTAATGGCAAAAACCAAAAACTAAATTCATGTGTATCAAGAGTACCACTTTCTCTTTTTGCCCATATTGCACTTTTATTTCAAACTATGCACTGTGAAGAGATTTTTTTCCCAGGTAGGAAGGAAGGATGTTCCCTGTTACTAGTGTTCTACTGGGCTGTGGAACTTTCTTCATTCTCACTTTTTTTCAAGTCATATTTGTAGACTTGATAGCTCTTAGGCCTCAAACCCAGCCAATGCCAATCAGGCTGACCTAGATTCTGGCTGGAGAGAAGCCATGTCTCCAGGAAAGTCAGCAACAGAAAATGAGATATGATGCTAGAGAACATTTGTCCTTGATTCTAAATGTGGAGGGTTGGGGGCAGTGGGACATAAGCTTGTAGAACGGTTCCAAAAGTTGCTTTTGTATATTCCTTTTTATTCGTAAAGCTTTCTTTTTATTCTTCAAGTTTGGTAGTATAGATGACTATTGTTAGTCCCTTAATGGGACAGCCATGTGACCCAGTCCCTTAGACTGACTTATTTTGAATTGAGTTTCAAATTTCAAAAGTGCAAGGATTTAACTTTGAAGCTGAATCCTACGAAAGATGTCTTCATCACCAGGAATAACATCCTTTCTAATGATCCACACAGAACTGTCACACTGGCAGAAAATCCTATTGACTGCCTCTCACCCATCTCAAATACCTTCAGTGAAATTGATTTAAGGAAAGTGTGATGTTCCACTTAATAAAACAGGTTTGGAACATTATTTCCTTCACTGTCACTTTTGTATTACCCCCAGCCCTTCAAAAGTTTTTTTCTTGGATATATATTTTCAATATTCAGACTCTTTGAAAAAATCTATTACAATCAAGTGCTTATCATAGCCGAAAGATTTCTGGTGGCTTAAAGTCTATGAGCACTTTACTTAATGTGCAGTTATTTGTACAGAAAGGCACCAGGTACTGGATAAAAGTTCCAGAACTTGAAGAGTCAGGTTGTATCCTTATGCGTGTATCACTTTGAGTGCGTTTCTTCTACAGATGTTGATTTTATTATTCCTCAGCATCAACATTATAAAAGGGCACTTCTGTAGCTCAATTTAAAAAAAAAAAGTCCTGAGAAAGTCTTTTAAATTAGTCTTGGCCTTGTTTTCCAAATCCTGTCTTCCATTTTGTTCTGCAATTCCTGACCACTCTTCCAAAAAGCCCACAAATATCTGAAGAAACTGGAATAAGCTGTTATTTTATTAAGGTTTACAAATTTAAGTGCTTGGTTTTTTAATGTATCCTCTACCATTTTGATTTTCAGATTTTATTAATTCAATATCTGAAGATGTGCCTTTTATTGGGTAATGTTAATTCACGAATGTAGTAATGTTATTTCACAATTGTAATGTTACATGACCGTGGGTGTGGCATTCTCTAACAGATGATGTGAAAGGAAAGTAGTTTTCATAAAACTCATATGGCTCTGATTGCACAGTCCCACTTGCTTTTGATGTTGCTATGTCAAAGCAAGGGGCACTTTCTCTTAAGGCTACTTTCAGAACTTGTCTTTGTATTTTCTCTAAACTACAAATGCATTTATGTCCATTTGGAGGCCAGGGTACCACATGTCACAGACAGCCTTACATGTGTGCCATGAGAGGGTTCAAAGACTGTTAACAAAAAAGAAAGTCTATGGGAACTCGAAATTTCATTTTTTTAATGTTACCCCAAGATTTTCTCCAAGAAATTACTGTTTTGTATTTTGTAACTTAAAAGCAGCTATTAGTACATTTCTGAGATATAGCAGGAGACCAAAACATGTTTGGAAAGAGAATAAATATATGAAGAGAGACTGGTTGGTTTATTTTCAATGTGCTCAATATATTAGACTACTATTTATTTTGTGAGTGGATGTGATAAAATAAATATTCAGGTGTTTAGTGTATGATTAAGAGTGGGATATAGATTTCTTTGGAGTTATTAAATCCATCATGTCTTTTACATAATGGACAAATCAAGTTTTAAAAAAGAAAACATTTACATAGCTTAGCTTGTTTTCTGGTGCTGTTGACCTGCAAGAGAATCTACTTTTGCACATACAGGTGAAAGTTTTGCAATTTATGTATAAAAGAAATTGTAGGCATTAAAAATATTTTATTGATATTTTCACTGGTTTGCCTTTATTTACCGAAACTCAGATATTTTCTTCCATTGCCCTGAACATTTTTCTAGCTAGAAGCCCCAGTAGACTCATCAGACTTGAGATAGGGTTTGCCTCCTTACACATATACCTCTCTGTTCATTCTCCTTGACACGTTCACGTCTGCTCGGCCCCCACAACTGCCCCCCCTCCATGCCCCCCACCAGCTTACGAGAGCTGGTCTGCTACCAGACACCCAGGTTAGGACAACTGCTTGGAGGTATACTCCGAACCGGAGGAGGAAGTACTGGGTATACAGTTCCTCTTGTCAAGAAAATGAGCAGGTTCTGTCCCCCTATAATAAAAAGAGCCTGAAATAACTGAGAAAGATGAGTCCTTTGGAATATATGTAGGAGGCAAGTAGGCACAGCCAGGCAGCCAGAAAATGTAGGCACTTAACCTGATGGGATGAGTTGAGTCTAGGTCACATAAGTATTATAAGAGATGCTACTATCCTAGATTCAGGATTACTGTGTTGCTTATGCAGTTTGAGTTCACTTTTCATAAGGAATAAAAAAGGGCAACCTATTCAGTGTACAGGGCCACTTAAAAAATAGTTTAGCAAATGTACCATAGTCCATCAACACAATGTTACCCACATAACCAAAAGATCTACTTTGGTGGTACGGATGCACTTCTGAACAATGGGACCATCCATCATCCCCAGGCAGCCACAGAATGGGAGAAGTTCCACACAGTCTGTTTCAAAAGCAGTTGCTCTTGTTAAGTTCTCACCACCCCCCCCCTCCACTCCCCTCTCAGGGTCAGAAAATTCCAAACCACATCTAGAGGGCTTATGAGGAATATGCTAGGGCTCAAATGCCCAGAATCACTGCATGGGTCTTCTACTTGGGTTTCCATCCTTGGTCTCAAACTCAAACTGCATCATACCGAGGACTGGCTTTTGTTTCTGTGTGTGCTGCCCTGTATTACCAACAGTCACCGCTAAATCATCAGACACCTTCCTTGCTATTCAGGTGAGGGAGGCATTTAAGCCAAGAGACAGCCAAGATCTTGGATGCTCCAGGCTCTTGTTTGGCTCTTTTCCTTGGCACATAAAAACATGCCAAGGGGTTTGGGGTCTAGAAGGTCTGGATCTTTTATTTTTTATTTTTTGAAGGTCTGATCTTAATCTTGACTGCAACCCAGAGCTGTGGGGCTGGTAAGATACTTGGGGCCTCTCAACTTCATTTTTGCCATTTTGTTAAAAGGCCAGTGCCTAACCCAGAAAGCTATACAGATTAAAATAATGTATGATTTAGCACCCAGTATGAAAATGAAGTCCTTTCCGCACACAGTATTAGCCTTCAGTTCTTGGTAATAGCTGTGAAGTTACTACAATTCTCGCCTTTTCTGTAACATTTTTTTGACCCTGGAGCCTGGACAGAGGAGAAAGGCTATACTTGGGAACGAGGTCTACAGAATACGGGGCAAATGGAACTAGTTATCTTAGTCTTATTGCCAGTCTGAGAGACTGAAACAGAGGGGACCCAATCACATCCATCTACCCCAACTACCTCCCCACCCTCCATCTCCCTGTTTGCAGCTAACGGAATACCAAGTCTTATCTTAAAAAGTACGGAAGTTTTTTACATAAAATGTGACAAAATAATGTGCAATTACTTTATGCTAAACCAACAACAGGAACTGTACAGCTGGTCAGGTGAGCTTCAGAGCTGCATTACTTCACCAGGATCATCTTTGCTTACTTCCACCGGGGTCTGGGGAAAGAAAAGTATGTCAGGTGGACCTCACCTAGTGTTTGCTTGTGTGTGTGGATGAGGCAATTGCCCTCCTTGCCGAGGACAGGCGGAAGTAGCTTTGTCCAGTCCTATCTCTCAATGCCTCTGATCCCAGTTGCCAGAAGGGCTTAGCCATGTGGGAGGTGACAAGAGGCCAAAAAAGAACAAATATCCAAGGTCTAATGGGAAGAGAGAAGATCTCTGGCACCAGAACCACTTTATAAACTGCCGTTTACTTGAGGAGGGAGGGTTAAGTGTAGGTTGCTGGTGTGAGCTGATTTAAGAAATGTGACCGAAGCCTGGGCACATGAAATGGCCCCCCCCCCCGAGCATAATCCTAGGTCATCCATGTCAGACAGTTTTGACTCAAGGCCTGAAATACCTTTACCTCAACATCTCTGGGTTATTTGAGACTGAAGAATTTAAGACTAATGACTCTTAGGAAAATATGTATAAAAGAAAGACATGAAAGAGAGGGAACTCTCAGTGAATAATAGTATGTAAGGTACAACCCCTTTCTAAATAAAGAGAAGACTATTCGTTTCTAAAGTTACTAGAGTTGAATTTTGATGCTTAGCTCATTTATCTGAGGCAGTACTTTCAAAGTAGGTATAGAAAACAAAGTTGAAAGCACACTTACCCCTCCTGGGGGATACTTATATCCCTTCCACATGGTTCCTGCAATGAGAAGCAACCATAAGACAACAATCATTGTGGGGCTTCTTGCTCAGCTGGTGGTGTGTGCTGGGGACAATAGGTGGTACTGAAAGGTGTGGTGGTCTATTCCCTGAGTCCTGGGAACTGGGCTGTCTTCATTCAAGACCAGATGGTAGATTGCCCAGCATGATAGTTCCTGGCTGAAGAGCTTTGTGGTCTAGTCTGAACAGCAATGACTCGCCAGGGCCATTTTGGGGGGCAGAGATCAGACACCAATTGTGACATCAGCTCCTGTGACCCTGCGGGGACCAGTCAGAGTGGTAGCTATGGGACAATTGACTAGGACGCCTGGTGTGTTGGGGCCAAAGAACCCTTAATAGAAAGGCCCTGTTCTCCGGTGACCCTCCATGGTTTGGATCTAGCTGGCATCACATCTTTATTAACTCGTCACCTGTCAGAATATTAACTATTGGCTTTATGCAATCAGATACAAAAAGCACTGTTATGTAAACAAAACTAAACGGGCCCCGGATTAATTGGGAGGACTGGCTAGGCATGCTGTGAGCAATTACTTTATACACTATTGCTAGACTATTTGAAAAAGAGAAATCTTGCATTTTGTGAAACACCACAGTTAAACACACATTATGCAGGGTATGCCTCCTTACAACTTCCCTGGAAAGGGAAGAGAAGGAAGATGGGTGTTATGTTCATTCCACAGCTGGAAAATCTGAGGTGGTTTGGTTTGGGCAGGATCAGGGTGGCAGTGGCTCAGCTAAGCAAGTGCCCCGTGCCTCCACCCACATCCCTACCCCCACACAAAGGTCTGGCTCAGTTGGGTCAAAACTCACATAGAAATTCTGGGGTTGGTGGCGGAAAAAAAAAAAGAAACTTCCTGGCCTACTTCTAGTATCCCTGGGGTTGGGACATGATGCTCCTGCTGTCCAGAGAAGTTTCCCAGAAAACCCGCTCCTGTCACTGGCTTACTTACTAAGTAAAGTTGCTTACTGAAGTCTTACAAAGACTTTAAGTTTCTTTAACAGCGGGAACATCTTTTGAAAAAACAGGTCTGAATGAAAGGGAGTGGGATGTGGTCTAGTGGAATGTGTGCAAGAGGTGGAGTCCAGAGACCTGTGCTTGCTTCCCAACTTCACATATGGAGTTGGTCTGTATGGCCTTGGGTAACCAATTGAGGTTGTGGTCACCAATAAATCTTCGTTGACCAGTTCATTATTTTGCTTGGTTGTTGATGCTTTGCATCAAATGCTTGACATGAATTCCCAAATGCAATCCTCAAAAAATAGTAAGATGCTGAGCTATCCCCATTGTACAGATGAAGAAAGTGAGGTTTAGAGATTAAACTTTCCCAAGGGATTGAACTTTTTACACAGCTAGTGAGTAGCAAAGTTAGGGCTTGAATTCACTAACATTAACTCTAGTCTTGGAGTCTGCCAAAAGGGGCGCTAAAAATGCTCATTCAACTAATTATAGAGTTTGTGAGAAGCTAATAGACCAGAAGTCTTTGAAAAGATAGACCTAGGAGATGTGCTTAACAAATCTTTGAACCTTGGCCTGCTGTCCAAAGCAGCACTTGCTGTATTCTCTTTCCCCCACCACATACCTCAAACCACTTTCCCTTTGACAGTTTGTTTCCCAGGGGAAAATAAACTCTCCATTGAGATTTTAGGGTGTCACCACATTCTCTGGAAAGGGAGGAACTGAGTTCAGCAGATCTGACCACTCACTCAGAGTTGCGGGTCTTCATCCAAAGCCCAGCTCCTCAGTCGTGTCTTGTTCTCCTGAACAGGCCACTTCTCCTTCCACTTCAGAGTTGGAGGCTGAGTCAGAAAGAAATTTAAAGGCAGAAGTGGTTCTACTTGTTGGGCTAGTAGGTGACTGCCTCTGTAGGACCAGAGGGGCTCTCGGGAGGTCCCACCAATGTCCATATTGCCATTCCTACCAGTGACCACTGATCTCCTTGGCCTAAAAACCACTGTCTTCAGAAGCTCTCTGATAAATTCTGTAATGCTTTGAAATAAGTGCTATTACATACCCAAGGGGCAGGTGGTACTCAGAGATACCCCAATGGGATGAGAAGTAGCCTGGGAAACTAACTTTGTTGCCATTGACCTCTATTTAGTAGTGAGATCTCAACTATCTTTCCCATTTGGTCACATCTCCCAGCTGGGAGAGTGAGCCAGGGCCAGAGCCAGGATGGACTACTATCAGGGATCCACAGGCAGGGCCATTACTTACCATGAACTCCGGAAACGTGCCCATGTAACATGCAAGTCCAACAAAAAGCATCCAGCCAAGCACGATCATGATAACAAATAAAACAATGTCTAAGACACAACTGCAGTCAAAGACTCTTCACCAAGATCTTGGCAGAGGAGTGTGCTCACGAAACCCTCAGTTGGTAGAGGTCTTGCATGTCAGTTCCAGTCCTTGGCTCCAAAGGATCCGGAACTCCCTAGTGGAGAAGCTGGAGTCCAGTAGGGCATTGTGACATCATTGGTCACATGGCCCAGGCTCACATGTCAAAGATACTGCCCCAAGACCAGTAGCTGAGCAGCAAACTTAGCTTTTTGTATGCATTCACTCATAGCAACAATATGAAGTAGATTCTATTATCAAGCACATTTACTAATGAGAAGACCAGAGCGTAGAGAGCCTAAGTGACTAGCACTAGGTCACACAGCTGATGCTCCCGATCAGGGCCAGGACTCATCTGTTAGGAAATTGGGCTCCCTAGAATCCAGACAGGAACTGGAAAGGGTGTGTTCTTAGGCCTATGACAGCTGTGAGTGCAATAAACTCAATTCTAGGGCAGTGAGACATCTCTTATTTCTGTCCCTGCAACCCCCTCATCATCTCAAGGGCTCTGTCACCACCATTTTATACCATTCTTCAATAGCTTTGGTCAGTAACTCTCTGCTGGTTCTCCTCTCTTGGCCTTCAGAAGCCACAAGGAAATTCTTTCATCACAAAAACCTCCAAATGATGCTGTGGCTCCTTCCTAACCGGTTTCTAAATTTCCTTTTATGCCCAAACTTCTGAAACACTCAAAGCCTTTCTTCCCAAACTCTACCTTTCTTCCACACATTGCATTCTGACTTCTGGCCCCCACATGGCTACTCAGATGCTCTCGGAGGTTATCAAAATCTCCTTTTTGTCAAGTCTAATGATCTCATCTTCACCCTTCTGACCTCCTTGTACTGTCACAATGGACCCTTCTCTCCATCAGAATTCTTTCTACAGACACACGTCCCCATGGGTTATGTTGGTATCTTCTTTATTTTCATTATTTTAAATTATGAAAATAACAGGTGCTCATGGCAAAACATGAAACCACCCACAGATATCTAAGAAAAATTTAACTATCTCCCCTCTTTTTCCCCTTAGTTCCCATCCCCATGATGTAACCAAGCCTGGTGTGTACCCTTCTGCCAAAGAATCTTCCATGGGCTTGCAAACATCAGTCCACATGTAAAGGGATAGAAGGGTTTCTTTTCAGTGTTGCCTTATTAAACGTGATCATACTACCTATGCTACTATGCAACTTGCTTTTATCCTGTTAACAATGGATAAAAAAAAAATCTAAACACTTTCTCTTTTTTTTTTAACAATAAGCTTTATTGAGGTATAAATCACATATGATAAAATACACTTTTTTAGTGTGCAGTTGAGGAGTTCTGAAGCATGTGTCAGGCTTTTAACAACAACCATAAATAGAAGAGAAAAAAGTTCAATCATCTCACAAAGCTCCCTTTGCTACTAGTGTCCTCCCCCCTGAACTCCTTGCCCCCTGGAAACTGCTTTTGCATTTTCCAGAACTTCACATAAAGAGAACTAAAAAACTCATTCATTGGCTTCTTTCACGTAACATAATGTTTTTAAGATTCATCCACATAGTACAGTAGTTTGTGCTGTTTTATTGAATGAACGTATGGTCTGCTGCGTGCACATAGCAGTTTATCAATTTACCTGTCAAAGAACATTTGGGTTGTTTCCAGGTTGGGTTATAACGAACAGTTATTATAAATCTTTGGGTACAGTTTTTTGTAAGAACGTTAAGTTTTAGTTTCTCTAGGGTGAATCCCAGTGGGGGTATTTGAATCACATGGTAAGTGCCTGTTAAAAAAACCTTTATCGCTAGTTCTCAGCAATTTTACTTTGATAGGACCATGTAATTTTCTGCATGTTTCTTCTATTTGGGGTTTGGTGAGCTTCTTGGAACTGTGGGTTTATGGTTTTCACCAAATTGGGAAAATATGTGGCCACTATTTCCTCAAACATTTTTTCTGCCTGCCTGTCCCTCTCTGTGACGTCCATTAGATGTCTGTAAGACCAGTACCCAGTGTGAACATGTCCCACAGCTTGCTGGTGGTCTTTGTTTCATTTTGGATTTTCCATGGCTTTGTTTTTCAAGTTCACTCATTATTCTCCTCTAGTGTCTAATCTTGAGACCCATGCAGTGCATTTTTCATTTGACATACTTTTCTTTTTTTTTTTTTTTTAAAGATTTTGTTTATGAGAGAGACAGACAGACAGAGACAGAGACACAGGCAGAGGGAGAAGCAGGCTCCATACAGGGAGCCCGATGTGGGACTCAATCCCGGGTCTCCAGGATCACGCCCTGGGCTGAAGGCAGCGCTAAACCGCTGAGCCACCTGGGCTGCCCTCATTTGACATACTTTTCATCATCTCTTCAAGTTCAAGTTGTCTTTTAAAAAAATACTTTCATTTTTTTCCCACATCAAGTTCATGTTTTCCTTTGCATCCTTGAGAGTTTTTATAAGACTGATAATAAACATTTTAAGGACTCCATCTACAAATCTATCATCCCTCTCTCATATCTGGAGTTGTTTTGATGGTTGATCTTTCTCTTTTTGTTATGGGCGATATTTTCCTACTTCTTTTGAATGTCTGGGAACTTTTAGGTTGGATGTTCAACATGGCAAACTTTACAGGGCTGTTTGCTGGACTCACATTCCTTTCAGTAGTGTGGGGTTTTCTTTTTTTTTTGTGTGTGTGTGTGTGGGGGGGGGGTTTCTTCCAGGATGTTTGGGCTCTGTCTGATTCTTCCGAGGCTTGCTTTAAGACTTGTTATGGTGGGCACAGAGCATCTTTTACTCTGAGGATAATTCTCCCTATGACTGACCCTTCTGATTCCCACTGGGCACTCTCTCTGATGCCTGTTGTGTTCAGTTTTTCAAATGTGTGGAATTTGCCACAACTCTGAGCCTCTTTGGGAGCTCCAAGAAGTTTTGACCTGCTGTTTCGGGGGGTCTTATGGAGTTTTGGTATGCAGAAATTCAGCAGTTTTGGTATGCAGAAACTCAGCTGGAGGTTCATGAGGACCCTCTGGAGATCTCCAGAGTTCTCTCTCTCTGCAGAACCCCTTCTTCTCCAGGCCTCCATCCTGCAAATTCCTAGTACCCTGGACTCCTTTGTACTCTGCTCTTTCTTTACAACTTAGCAAGATTACCCCAGTTTGGGTAACCCCTCTGTGCTGCAGTCTGAAAAATGTTTCCAGGCAGGACGTTGGGGCAATTGTAAGCCTCTTCTCCTTTCTTTCCTGTCTCTCAAAGTTCATAGGCTTGTGCTGCTTCTTGTGCAAAAACTGAAAACAATTACTGCATCTATTTTGTGCAGTTTTCCATTTGTTTTTGGAGAGAAGGCGACTCCTGTAACAGTTGATCCTTATTCTCATTCTTTTTAAATTCCTGCATAATACTCCCCATTTATTTCCCTTCTCCTCATGATGACTGTATCTGTCCAGAGACGGAAACCACACAGTAATTTCAATTTCAACTTAGAAAGCTAAATAAAGAGAATTAGTAAGTAGGAACAAGAGATTAACTAAGGAAAATGCAGAAAGCTCTACATATATAGAAATAGCATATGCAGGGAGAAGCCACACCTCTAAGGCTGAGGCAAAGCAACCAAGGAAGAAACAAACTTGCAAGAGTCTCTCCTTTCCAAGGCTGAAATCCAAAACTTGTTGAAATGGTGGCCATCACCAACTGGGTGGTAGAGAAATCCAATCTGCTGCAGGCCAGATGTGACAATTAGAGAATCACTAGATGCTGGTGAAATCGGCCACAAAGTCTCCAGAGAAGGTTCTGGGAAGTTTACTGATCATCGCTGAGATTCTGCCAGCAGAATATACCAGGAAGCCACCCTGTGGGGTGCTGGTGGTATAACGCAAGGCAAACTGTTCCATGGAAGGGATGCCATTGAAACTCAATGGAAAAGTCCATAGAAAGGCCACTGAAACTCAACAGGGCTGACCACCACTGGATATGCCCCATGTGCCACTGGCAGCCACATAGTAGAAGACGGAGAACAAAGGCATTCTGGGACCAGGAAGAGAAGTTTCTTCCTCCTACCATATCTCCCCAAGACCCTCTATTGATAAAACTTAACATCATGCCCACTAGCAAGGAAAAAAATGTTCACAAGGTCCAGCTCCATTATAGCAGAGCCAGCAGTGCATGGTGGATTCAGAGTTGAAGGACAATGAATTCCTAAATGGCACACTGTGCATTTAGGTTTTCTCCAACCTTTTTTTTTTTTTTTTACCACCATAAACAATGCTGTGATGGTTAAACCAAATTTCTTAGACAATTTCTTCTGAGTATTGCCAGGTTTTTACTTGTTAACCAGTAAAGCAGCAAGAGGACAAAAAGGGTATGCCAGTTCAGATAGAGCACGAAAATGGAGGCTATGTAAAATGCCTACAGAAAAAGAACTAGCATAAGAAAAGAAAGATCATAATTTCATTTTCATAAGGACAAAGAATGTCTTTCACAAGACAAAGGATACTGTGGAAGGGTCGCCTGAGAGGCAGGTAAGCTGTCAGTCAATGAACAACAACATAAGCTCCATACATCTAAGTAAAGGATACTGGTTTTTGATGCAAACATTTTTAAAATTTTCACGAGATCCAATTTGCTTATTTTTTCTTTTGTTGTCTCTGCCTTGGTCATATCCAAGAAATCACTGCCAAATCCAATGTCATGAAGTTTTTTCTTATGTTTTCCTCTAAAAGTTTTATTGATTTTTAAAAAAATTTAAAAGATTTTATTTATTCCTGAGAGACATAGAGAGAGAGGCAGAGACCTAGGCAGAGGGAGAAGCAGGCTCTTCGCAGGGAGCCTGATGTGGGACTTGATTCCAGAACCGCAGGATCATACCCTGAGACAAAGGCAGATGCTCAACTGCTGAGCCACCCAGGTATCCCTAACAGCTTAATTGTTTTAGGTCTTACATTTAGGTACTTGATCCATTTTTGAGTTAATTTTTGTAATATGGTGTATTAGATAAGAGTCCAATTCATTCTTGCATATGGATGTCCAGTTTTCCCAGCAGCATTTGTTGAAAAGACTGTCCCTTCCCCCATTGAATGGTCTTGGCACTCCTGTCAAAAATCATTTGACCATGTATGCAAGGATTTATTTTTGGGCTATCTATTCTATTCTACGGGTGAGGTACTTAGGTAAAAAATCATAGACAGAAAATAGAATGGTGAGTTGCCAAGGGCTGGGAGGAAGGAAGAGCAGGAAGACATTATTTAGTAAATATAAAGAGTTTCACTTTTAGAAGATGAAGAGGATTTTGGAAATGGGTGGTAAAGATGGCTGGGCTACATTATGAATGTATTTAATACCAGTGAACGGTGTACCTAAAAATGCTTATGAGGGTAAATAGTAGATTATGTGTATTTTACCCCAATAAAAAATGAGGGAAAAAGGGAAAAGTGATGAGGATACATGTCTCTGATATTTAGAATACTAGGGTTTCATCCCTGAACAATATGTCTGATAGAACCAATAACTATGAAAACAAAGAGTGTAAACAGCGACCAGAAGAGCACCCAAAAAAAAAAAATTCATATTTTAAGCAAGCCCTTCTTGTGACTTTTCACAAGCTGCAAACAAAGATGCAGAATATACACTTTTCCATTTCTTAGTTTGGGGATCTTTTGTGTCCTTTAAATATCATTAACATCTTTGTACCTGTGTCTTGGGTATTTTTATTTCAGGAAGACAAGTTTCCTAAGGTAGGTTTATAGAACAAAAGATATGTCAGATTACTTTGCCTAAAGTTTGTAGCAAATAATGCTCCCACTGACTACATTTGAGTTTCTTAAACCAGGGTACAGGGATGGGATTCAGTGGATCCGTGAACACTCCTGAAATTGGACACAAAATGGACTGCGTATGTTGGCATGTACATTTTTCTGGGACAGGTCTGTATCTTCCAAACCAAAACTCAGATAAGGCCGAGAATTAGTACACTATGCCACCGTCTCCCTATGGCTTTGGTCACCCTACACTCTCATTCATTCAGCAAACTTACCAAATATTAGAAGAATGAAGACATGTAATAAATTCAAGCATGCTAGGCACTAGGAATACAGAGATACATGAGATTTCACAGCTATCTGCCAGAACCTTACAGTCTTTGGGGACAGAAGGAGAGGAAGAGATGGAAGTAGCTGGTATAATAAAATATCCCAGGCAGGGCATTAAGGCATGAAGCAAGGAAGACATAATGTGTTTAGGGAAAAGTGAATGTTTCAGCCTGGTTAGATTACAGGATGTAATAGCGCCAATTTCTGGATGTGTGTGGGGGTTGTAGCAAGTCAGCGAGTGTTTGTACTAAACAATCTTCTTCTTATGATGAAGTACCAAAAGGCACAGAATTCCAGCTTCCTAGAGATTATTAATCACAAAATTTCATCACAACTTCACATTCACAGAGGCAGCAACATGCATAGATTAAGAACATGGTCTCTAACACCACCTTCTGCAATAACTTAACCTTTCTGAATCCTGGTTACACTTTTGTAAAATGGAGCCAATTATACCATACATCCTCTATTTTAAGGTGCACACTTTTTCACATTTTAGCTCCTTTCAAATAGGTGTGTTAAAATTGGCATTTATATTCAATTTTGCAATCTTTTCTCTCCCAAAACATTGTCAATAACACGTCTTACTGAACAGGTTCTCAGAAATAAGGAAATAGGTAATACAACCCTAAACCTCAGTTTCCTCACCAGTAGAACTGAGATACTTTTATCTAGGTCATAGGGTTCTGTGAAGATTAACTGTGATAAAGCACATAAAACTCTTAGCAATGTACCTTCCCCACAGGAAATGATGGCTACACACATACACAAACACATAGACACACACACACATGCACAAAGGGGCATAAAATGTTCACTGTGGCTGTAAATCATTCATGGTAACTAAACCAGAAGACAATGAGCTGTTTGGATGGAAGGCATCTTCCATAAAAGGTTCTTTCATAAAAGATTGAAGAACCTTGCTCAGGCCTCGCTTCCAATTTGGTATCTTTTCCTTGATTAATGGATGTCTGACAGGGTCTGTGAGATCTTAAAGACCCTGGAAGTCCCACTGTTTCCAAGTTTGTTAGATCTGCCTGGGGGTCTCTTTAGAGGTCTCTTATCTTTCCATCTTCCCCCTCCTACCTTCTCTCCTGGCTTCCTCTCTTGCCCCATACACTCTCTTCACAATGCAGCAGTCAGACTTATTCTTTTAAAACTCAGTCACATCACTGCTCTATCCAAAACTCTCCAGTCCCTTCCTCTTTCTCTCAGATAAAAGCCTAAGAAAGAAAAAAGTTCCCTGACATCTGGGAACTGGTCTGACCCAGCTACAAAGGTCTCAGTGTTGTTAGAGGTTGACCTGGCACTCAGAGCAAGGCTGGCTTACTCTCTTGTCAGATAAAACAATCTCACAGAACACAAACAGCAGACAGGGTCCCTCAGACCATGATAAAATGAGACCAAATAAAGCCACTTCATAATTTTGTCTAAGCAGAGACAAACCAAGGTCGCTGTGCAGCCCATGAAATGCCAAATATCCTCTTCCCTCTATTATGAGTGATTGATACGTCTTTACCAATTACTGCTTTATCCTTGCTCGAGTGTGCCCATTTTGTAGATATTTATTGAGATATCCAATCACAGAACGGTCTCTGCTTTCTGCCATCACCCAATCCAAAGTGAAGGTTCACTTCCTTAAACCCTCCCCAAAGGGTCACCCAAAGCCCCAATCCTGTAATAGGTCTTACTAACATTCTCGAACTGAGCAGGCCCAATGGTTCTCCCCGGTATCTGTAATCAACCCAACCTGCTTAAGTGTGGGTGTGTTTCTGATGCTCTTCTGGCTGGAGGCTACTGACAAGCCAAAGTCACAAATGTCTACCAAGGTCCCACAGCGGTTCTTAGACTTCACTGCGCATTAGATTCATCCGGTTTGTAAAAAAGGACTGCTTGAACTCTACCCTTCCCCCAGAGTTTCTGATTCTATAAGTCTGGGGATGGGGGGTCTTAGAATCTGTATTTAAAACAGGTTCCAAAAAAAAAAAAAAAAAAGGATCCCTGGGTGGCGCAGCGGTTTAGCGCCTGCCTTTGGCCCAGGGTGCGATCCTGGAGACCCGGGATCGAATCTCACGTCGGGCTCCCGGTGCATGGAGCCTGCTTCTCCCTCTGCCTATGTCTCTGCCTCTCTCTCTGTGTGTGTGTGTGACTATCATAAATAAATAAAAATAAAAAAAATAAAACAGGTTCCAGGTGATGCTGAGACAGTGAGTCTGGGGGCCACAGTGGAAGAATCACTGCCCTAAACCATTTGTGGCCTCCCCCTTATTTCTCTGAGTTAGCCTCCTTCTGTTTCCTCACCTCTTACTTCATTCTGTTCCAGCCACACTGGCCTTCTTGTTGTTTTGAGCTCATGCCTATCTTAGGAACTCTGCTTTGAATGCCCTCTAATCTAGAACCCTTACTCTCTCACCTCTCAGGGAGACCTACCCTAATCTCCTTACCCTGTCTTTTAAAAACTTATTCCCCACAACCCACTTAATTACCTTCCAACCTATGATCTAATTTACTTACTTATTATATGTATTGTATTGTTTTGCTCTCCTCCTAATGAAAGGATGGACAGCCTCAGGACAACTGATATTTTTGTCTATTCTGTTCACTGCTGTATCTTCAGACCTAGAAAAATACCTATCAAACAAACAGTCAATGCTCCAGAAAAGTTTGTTGAATGAATAAATATCCTTTCCAGCCTTTACTTTCTCCTCCTAAATTAAATCACAGCATTCCTTTCTTCAGCTCTCCCTGCAAACACGATCACAGTCCTGCTCACCCAACCCCCTGACGGTTACAATATCCATCTGCTGCGACTTTTTTAGGCCCAGTGGCTCAAGTCGGGGATAAAGCAGGGAAGTAAATCATAAGTCAAGAAGCCCAGACAAGGCCACAGATTGCATCTCTCGGTCCTCTCTACGAAGATGACCTTATCTACCCATCTACCTCCTCTGGTGCTCAAACTCTTCTGACCTGGCTTTTTCCTTTCTCTGCCACCAACAGTTATGGCGCATCCTCATTAAAAAAAAAAAAAGGAAGAAGAAGAGGGAGGAGGAGGAGGAGGAGGAGGAGGAGGAGGAGAGGAGAAGAAGAAGAAGAAGAAGAAGAAAAGAAGAAGAAGAAGAAGAAGAAGAAGAAGAAGAAGAAGAAGAAGAAGAAGAAGAAAGAAGAAGAAAGAAGAAGAAGAAGAAAGAAGAAAGAAGAAGAAGAAGAAAGAAGAAGAAAGAAGAAGAAAGAAGAAGAAAGAAGAAGAAAGAAGAAAGAAGAAGAAGAAGAAGAAGAAAAGAAAAAGAAAAAAGGGCCGGCCACCCCTCCCCGCATGCTGCACCAACCCACCCATCTCCCAGTTTTTCGACCATGCTCCTCCTGACTCCATTTTCCCTTTCCAGCTCCCTGAAATTCTGCTTTTGAAGTTCCGTTACCTCTTCCTTCCCGAATCTAACTACAGGTCTTGGTCGGGATCCTTTGCCGACACTCCGGCTGAATTTCACACACCCGTCCGGGAACTCTGCCCAAGCATCGCGAGCTGCTGCTACCTCCTTCACTGCTTCTCCTCGGGTCCTTCCTATTCCTCTCCTTACAGACGTCCCCAAGCCTCCTTCCAGCGAGCGGGGTCGCGACCCCCCTCCCCGGGCGCTACCGCCTGGCCCACGCCGCGCAGGGTCCACGCCGGGGCGCCGGGGACCCCGGGCGGAGCCGAGCAGCCGCGGACCTGGGCGTCGGACGCGGGGGGCGGAGCAGGGGGCGGGGCGTGGGCGGAGCAGGGGGGCGGGGCGTGGATTGGGGCGTGGCCTCGCGCCGCCCGCGAGGCTTGGGCCTCGGCGGCCTCCGTCCAGGCGTGGGCGCGGCGGCTGGTGCGCGCTGCGGTCGCGGAGGTCTGCTCCCGGACGTGGGTGGAGATGGAGTTCGACTGCGAGGGTCTCAGGCGGCTCCTGGGCAAGGTGCGGGCGGCCCGGCGGGCCGGGGGCCGGCGGTGGGGCCGCCTCATCCTTGCGTTTCCCCGACTCGTCCCGGGGCTTGGAGCGGGCTGCGGGGCGCGGTCCCCGGGAGGCTGCGGGTCTGACCCCCATCCGCCCCGGCGCCGTCCCTGGGTTCCCGGCCGGTGGGGCGGGGGCCGTGGCTCCGCCCACCACCGTGAGTCCCCGCCCCCTCTCCCCTCCCCCTCCCTGGGTCCCCGGCCGGAGAGGGGCGTGGCTCCGCCCACCACCGTGAGTCCCGCCCCCTCTCCCCCTCCCCCTCCCTGGGTCCCCGGCCCGGGGCTCCGCCCACCCCCGCCCCTGGCTCCGCCCACCCCCGCGAGCCCCTGCCCCCCTCCGCCCCCCAGCTCCGGGCCTCCACGCCCTGCGAGACTTTCTCGCGCCGCGGGCGTCTGCGCGTCCCCTAACCGCGCGCCGCTTTTCTTGCCTCGCAGCCCCTTGTCTCTGAGTCTCAACTCCGACCGGTCTCTCTGCATCTCGGGACCGCGCCGTTCGCTCCGCTTGCGTTCCGGCGGGTGCATGATCACACCGTGGGAATCGTACTTGATTTACGATCGTTTATTTACTCGTGCGGTGTACCCCGACCGCGGGGACGGGGCCGTGGTACTCCCTGCCCCAGCCCTGCGCCCGGCCGCCGCGGGGCCCTACCTGTCCGTGCAGGGATGGAGTGAAAGGGTAGCCTGTGCCTTGAGCAGGTACCGGACATGGAAACAGGGCTTGGAGGCCCAGAAGAGATCCCCCTGAATGGTTGAAAGGTTGAGCGGGAGGCCTGACCCGGAAGCCTCACCTATATTTCTGGAGCACGACTAGCAAGCTTCCAGGTTGCTCCAGGCTCTTGGTCCAGCCTCTTTGATCCCGCCCCCCGCCCCCCAGTGTATGCTCTGAGGCAACCCCCCCTTTCTCCCGCTTTCTAGTTTTGTGATTCTTAATGCTTCCTTAAGATTTCTCCATGCAAGAACCATGCACGTGTGGCATTTTTGTTGGATTTGCCCTAGATGGGGCAGTTTGCACGTCTGGGCAAGGTTGTGAAGCCTCAAGACTGAAAGTGTTTATTTAATTGATTTGAATTTTTATTTTCTGTGTCAGGTGTAGATTTTGTAGGAAGAGAAGTATCATCGTGCTGAGCACTGCACCCTTTGTGTCTCCTCTTCAAAGAGCCACTACTATATCAAGTTAAGACCGATATCAAGTTAAGACCGATTGATCGATCAATCTGACAGAGGGATCAATTGATCTATCTGACAGAGGGAGAGAGAACACAAGCAGGGGGAGCAGGGGGCAGAGGGAGAGGGAGAAGCAGCTCCCTAAGGAGCAGAGAACGCAATGTGGGGCTTCATTCCAGGACCCTGAGGTCATGACCTGAGCAGAAGGCAGAGCTCAACCCACCAAGCCACCCAGGCACCCCACTCTGTCAAGGTTTTTTTTTTTTTAATTTTATTTATTTATTCAGGAGAGACACAGAAAGAGAGGCAGAGACACAGGCAGAGGGAGAAGCAGGCTCCATGCACCCGGAGCCCGACGTGGGATTCGATCCCAGGTCTCCAGGATCGCACCCTGGGCCAAAGGCAGGCGCCAAACCGCTGCGCCACCCAGGGATCCCTGAATGGGAATTTTAAACACTACTGGTGGTTCAGTGGTTATTTAACCATTTTGGAGAACAATTTGGCTTTGTTAATTTGATTATGTGTGATTTTTATTCCTTCTACATCTAGCTAGGTAGATACCTTAGAGAATTCACAGTATATGAAGCAGCAGACACTTGCAGAATCATTCATAACTAAAAGTTAGAAACAACCCAAATGTGCCTTAACAGAAGGAAGGATAATTTGTTGTATATTCACACAATGGAAAACAGTACTGTGTGGCAGTGAAAAGGAGCTGCAACATGCAACAATATAAGTGAATCTTGAAAACATCCTATCGAGTGAAAAAAAATAGAAGTTCTATGCAAAATTATATTCTGATAAAGACAACAAAATTAAAACTAAACAATAAAATAGTGTATTTTTTAGGGATAGACACACATGTGGTAAAACTAGAAGGTGAAAGCAGAGGAAGGTAAATATACCTTCAAGGGAGACATTGAATGGGTGAGAGGACTACTCAGATGCTATGCTGTTGGAGAGGTCTGTGCTGTCAAATATGGTATCCTGTAGCCACAAGTGGCTATTTGTCAAAATTAGATAAAATTAAACGTTGAGTTTTTCAGTCATGCCAGCCACATTTAAAAAAAAAAAGATTTTATTCATTTATTCATGACAGACACAGAGAGAGACAGAGGCAGAGACACAGGCAAGAGAAGCAGGCTCCATGCAGGGAGCTCGATGCGGGATCCGATCCCGGGTCTCCAGGATCACACCCCAGGCCGCAGGCGGCGCTAAACTGCTGGGCCAACAGCCACATTTTGATTGTCAATGGCCACATGTGGCTTGTGGCTATTATATTAGATCCCCCTCACATATAGATCTTTTTCATCATGGCAGAAAGCTTTGTTGGACATTGCTATTCTAGATAATATGTAAGCAGGTTGGTGCATGGGTGTTTATTATTTGAAATTAGTGTATATGTTTCTGTGTGTGTGTATGCATATACACACATGTATATATTCTTTAGTTTGTATTAAATGTTAAGTTTAGGGTGCCTGGGTTTCTTGGTTAAGCATCTGACTTGATTTTTAGCTTAGGTCATTATCTCAGGGTTGTGGGATTGAGACCTGTATCAGGCAACATGCTCAGCCTTCATGTTGAGTCAGCTTGGGATTTTCTCTCTCCCTCAGCCCCTACCCCGCCCCCTCCTTGCACATGTGCACATGTGCCCCCCCCCCCATAAATACATATTTTTAAAAATTACTAAGTTTAGAAAATTTATCTGATTCCCTCATTCCTATTTCAGGTTTGTGGTTCCCACATCACTAGTTTGAGTTATCTTGGACAGGTAGCTTAACCCAGATTTGCTCACTCACAGAATGATAAAATTGGACTTGATCTAAGATATGTTCCAGTTAGCAATTTTTTTTTGGTGAAATGATGCCACAGAGTATTCCTCAGTGTGTCCTACATTTGAGCATATGTCATATGAGTACTCTTATGCACTCTTCCTAAATGTAAGTCTAGTAAATAAACATACAATAGTATAGTAGATAAAGTCTCACTTTTTCAGTGTTAGACTTTTTTTTTTTTTAAAGTAGGCTCCAGGTGACAACACTGCAGCCTTCTGTACATTTGTGGGATGATTTCATTCACTTTTGTTTACACTGCGTCAGGCACCCTAAATCTGGGCCTCATTTCACCTTGCTGTAGTTAATACTGCTCAGTTCTTGGTTTCAATATCCAGTCCTGTGGATCATAATTTCTTTCTCTATCCACTCTACTCATATAAGTCTGCCTTTTTGCAGAATTAATTCCCATCCACTCAGCCTATATTTATCAGAGGCATACCCTGTGCTAAGTGCTGTGGGGAGATACAGAGATGAATAAGAGATGATTCCTGCCCTCAAGTTGTTAATAATCATAGGCTTTTTCTTCTGCCAAATTCTTACCCATCTTAAAATGCTCTTCTCCCTTCCCTCTAAGTTTCTTTTTTTTTTTTAAAGATTTTATTTATTTATTCATAGAGATGCAGAGAGAGAGAAGCAGGCTCCAGAGAGCCCGACGTGGGACTCGATCCAGGGTCTCCAGGATCACGCCCTGGGCTGCAGGCGTCCCTAAACCACTGCGCCACCGGGGCTACCCCCCTCTAAGTTTCTGTACCATTCTAGACTCTTAGTGTAGGCTGTAGGCAGCTGTTCCTGGAGGCCTTTCTCTAACTTAGATATGCTTTATGTGGGTTCTTCATTTCTTATCTGTACTTACTGTTGTATATGTTTTTGTTTAAGATCTCACTTTTAGGGACGCCTGGGTGGCTCAGCGATTAAGCGTCTGCCTTTGGCTCAGGGCCTGATCCCGGATTTCTGGGATTGAGTCCCACATCGGGCTTCTTGTATGGAGCCTGCTTCTCCTCCCTCTGCCTATGTCTCTGCCTCTCTCTCTGTGTCTCTCATGAATAAATAAATAAAATCTTAAAAAAAAAAAAAGGTTCTCACTGTTACATGTGTTAATCCCAAGGTCATCATATGTACCTGTTGAAGTTGGGGTAGTCGAGCTATATCTCCTTTGCAAATGAAAAGCTTAAGGCAGGACGCCTGGGTAGCTCAGTGGTTGAGTGCTTTTGAGTCAGGGCCTGATCCCAGGGTTCTGGGATCAAGTCCCACATCAGGTACCCCTCAGGGAGCCTGCTTCTCCCTCTGCCTATGGCTCTGCCTCTCTGTCTTGAATAAATCAGTAAAATCTTAAAAAAAAAAAAAGTGTCTGAAAAGCTTAAGACTCAGAGAGAGGAGACACTCTACTAGCAGTCATTCCCCATTTCCTCCCAATCTCTCATAACCCTAGGCATCCACTAATCTACTTCCTGCTTCATGGATTTGCCTATTCTAGATATTTCATATACAAATCTATAATATGTGGCCTTTTGTGTCTGGTTTCTTTCACTTAGCATAACCATTTTCAAGGTTCATCCTTGTAGTATGTATTTTTATGGCTGCGTATGTGTTCTTTATTCTTTTTATGGCTGAGTATTCCATTTTATAAATATCACATTTTATCCATCAGTTGATGGACATTTGGCTTGTTTTCACTTGTCTATTATGAATAATGCCGCTTTGAACAATAGTGTACACGTTTTTGTATGGACATATGTTTCCACTTTTCTTGGTTACATAGTCGGAATGGAATTCCTGGGTCATATAGTAGCTTTATGCTTAGTCTTTTGAAGAACTGCCAGACTTTTCCAGAGCAGCTGCACCATTTTCTTACCAGCAGGGGTTTATGTACACAGGGGTTCTGATTTCTCTACATCCTTTCCCATACTTTTTATTGTCTTTTTTATTATGGCTTGCCTTTAAAAAAAAAAAAAGATTTATTTAAGAGAGAAAGAGAGAGCGAGTTGGGAAGAGGGGCAGAGAGAGAATCTTGAAGCAGACATCCTGTTGCGCACAGAGCCTGACAGTGGACTTGACCCCACAACCCTTGAGATCGTGACCTGAGCTGAAACCAAGAGTGAGACTCTTATTTGACTGAGCCCCCTAGGCGCCCCCTAGCCCATCTTTTAATTACAGTATAAATCCTTCAACTTTTGTGTGTGTGTGTTTTTTTTTTAAGATTTTATTAATTTATGAGAGACAGAAGAGAGAGAGGCAGAGACACAGGTAGGGGGAGAAGCAGGCTCCATGCAGGGAGCCTGATGTGGGACTCGATCCTGGGTCTCCAGGATCACGCCCTAGGCCAAAGGCAGATACTTAACCGCTGAGCCACCCAAGCGTCCCATGTGTTCTTTTATAATATTGTTTTTGGCTGTTCTAGGTCTCTTGCATTTCCATATGAATTTTAAGATCATTTTGTAAATTTTGTGCAAATTTTTATTTTATTTTTTTAAGATTTTATTTATTTATTCATGAGAGACACACACACAGAGAGAGAGGCAGAGACACAGGCAGAGAGAGAATCAGGCTCCATGCAGGGAGCCCGATGTGAGACTCGATCCCGGGACTCGAGGATCTCGCCCTGGGCCAAAGGCAGGTGCTAAACCACTGAGCCACCAGGGATCCCATTGTGCAAATTTTTAAAAAGCCAGTTGGGATTTTGATAAGGATTGTTGGGGAATATTGCCATCTTAACAATAGTAAGTCTTTTGATCTATTAACCAGGGATGGCTTTCTTCTACTTTTTTTTTTTCTTCTACTTAGATATAATTTCTTTCAACAAAGTTTTGTAGTTTTTACAGCAAGTTTTACGTGTTAAATTTATTCCTAAATGGTTTCTTTCTTTTTGATACTATTGCAAATGCAGTTGTTTTTCTCAAATTCATTTTCAGATTGAGAAAGATTCTTTTTTTAAGATTATTTATTTATTAGAGGGAGAGAGAGCATACATATGAGCTGGGAGAGGGGCAGAGAGAAAGGGAGAAGCAGACTCATTGTGGGGCTCAATTTCAGGACCGTGAGATCATGACCTGAGCTGAAGGGAGACGCTTAACCAACTGAGCCACCAAGGCATCCTGAGAAAAGATTTTTTTTTTTTTTTTTAAATTCTTTTTTTTTTTAATTTTTTATTTATTTATGATAGTCACAGAGAGAGAGAGAGAGAGGTAGAGACATAGGCAGAGGGAGAAGCAGGCTCCATGCACCAGGAGCCTGACATGGGATTCGATCCCGGGTCTCCAGGATCGCGCCCTGGGTCAAAGTCAGGCGCCAAACCACTGCGCCACCCAGGGATCCCTGAGAAAAGATTTTTAACATATTTTTTTCCCTTTATTTAATCCTCAGCCTGAGTCTAGGAGGCAGGTATTATTTCTCTTTGCAAATGAGGAAATAAGTTTAGAGAAGTTAAATGATTTTGCCAAGGTAGTATTTCTGGATGAATGAGGAGGCAGTTGACTGCAAACTCTTGAATGCTGTCTGTTCTCCCTTTGAAACCCTGGGTGAGGGGATCCCTGGGTGGCGCAGCGGTTTGGCGCCTGCCTTTGGCCCAGGGCGCGATCCTGGAGACCCGGGATCGAGTCCCACGTCGGGCTCCCGGTGCATGGAGCCTGCTTCTCCCTCTGCCTGTGTCTCTGCCTTTCTCTCTCTCTCTCTCTCTCTCTCTCTCTCTCTCTGTGTGTGTGTGTGTGTGTGACTATCATAAATAAATAAAAATTAAAAAAAAATTAAAAAAATAATAAAAAAAAAGAAACCCTGGATGAAGTACCAGGAGGGTTGGGAGGGAAATTCAGGGTGTCTCAAGTGAATGAGGTAGTCAAGAATGAGACTTGGATACTGAACAGTGGTGACATGGGTGCTCCTGCTCTATATCTTAAGCCATCAGGGAGTATTTGGAGGCCACCTGATTCAGTGATGAAAGGCCCAGGTCCAGAGTTTGAGCTCTGGCTTCACTCCTTGCTACCTCGTTCTTCAAGTCGTTTTGATTCGCTAGCTTTAATTTTCACCCTCTGTTGAGTCAGCCCTATTACCTACTTCATTAGTCCTTATTAAAAGGATTAAATCACATACTATTCATGTTCATAAAACTCAGGCCCAGGGCCTACCACACAGTGTTCTTTTAAAGATTGATTGTATTTGTTCTTCTGCTTAAAGCTTTATTCATTCCACTCTCATTTTTCTCTTTTCAGTACACCTTCAGAGATCTAACTGTGGAAGAACTAAAGAATGTAAATAGATTTTTCCCACATTTCAGATATTCCATGGACACTTATGGTAAGAATCATAACCCCTAGTTTTAGCTACATTTAATTGTTAATTATTCACAGAGAGCTCTAGAATTATAATTTCTCATTTCCCTCTTTTATCCCCTGATTTTGAACTATACTTTGCAAACTGTGGTCTCGGAGGAAATTTAAGTTAATACAACATATTATATGAGCTTTCTATTGCTGCCTTAACAAATTAGCAAAACTTACAGGCTTAAATACAAAGAACAAAACTGTTGGTTGCCAGAGGGGTGGGAGTGGGTGGACGGGTCAAAGAGAGAAAAGGTATTAAGAGTACACTTACCTTGATAAGCACTGACAAGTGTATAGAATTTTTGAATCTTGATATTGTACATCTGAAACTAATATAATACTGTCTGTTAATTATACTTGAGTATAAATAAGTGAATAAAATAAATAAACAACAATCAGCACAAATTTATTAGCTTAAAAAGCTCAAGTTTACTGCCTTAGAGTTCTGTAGGCTAGAAGGGCAACACATCAAAGTGTTGGCAGGTTTTAGGTCCTTTCGGGAGGCTCTGGGAGAGGTCTGTTTCCTTGCCTTTAATATTATTATTATTATTTAAAGATTGTATTTATTATTCATGAGAGACAGAGACAGACAGAGACACAGACAGAGGGAGAAGCAGGTTCCCTGCAGGGAGCCTGATGCAGGACTCGATCCCAGGACCCCGGGATCACGCCCTGAGCCAAGGGCAGACACTCAACCACTGAGCTACCCAGGTGCCCGCCTTTTTTATTATTATTATTTTTTTAAGTTTATTTCTATTAGTAATCTCTACATACAAGGTGGGTCTCAAACTCATGACCCTGAGATCAAGAGTTGCATGCTCCACTGACTGAACCAGCCAGTTGCCCCTCCTTGCCTTTTTTAGTGTCTAATGGTGACCCACATTCTTTAGCTCTTCATCTCTTTCCTCCATCTTCAAAGCTAGCAATGTTGCATCTCTCTGATTATCCTTCTATAGCCATATCTTTGCTTTTAAGAACCAATGTAATTATATTAGGCTTACTCCAATAATATAGGATAATTTTCCCATCCCAGGGTCCTTAACTTAATTGCATCTAAAAATGTCTCTTTGTCAAATAAAATAACATATTTACAGGTTCCAAGGATTAGGGTATTGGGCACCTTTGGAGGCCATTATTCTACCTGCCATATGATTGATTCTGAATTATTAATAACAAAGTTTAGTTATTATCTTTAGTTAATGTATAGTTACCTAGAAGTGAAGATTTTACTTCACTGTCTTTCAGAATTTCTGACCACAACCCAAACTCGGAAATGTTTTATATCATGACTCTGTAGACACATAACTGACTGTGTAGACTCTGGCATTTTCCATTCCATTCCATTTCATTTAAAAGCAAATGTGGATTGAGACTCACTAAATTGATTTTAGAGCCCACAGATTAGTCAAAACACACAGGTTTGAGAGACTTTGTTGTATGTGGGTATGTTTTATATTTGAATTAGTTGCATTTAGAAATGTACAACTCAGATTTAGGTATTAGAAAATTTGAGGAGTAGTTGAAGTATTTCTTAGGAATACTACTTTCATATGTGGAAGAAATGATTAAATTCTAGCCCAGCTGTTGCTAGCCTCTCTTGATTAGCACCTCATTATTTGGTGCTGCGGAAGTGCCTGAGATGGGGGCTGTTAACAGCTACTATTTATTAAATGCCTGATATGTTTCCAGATGCTTTATCCACATTATCTTATATATATATATTTTTTTTTACAACCAAAGCTGTGAGGTGTTACCATCTTCATTTTTCAGATAAAGAACCCGAGGCTCAAAGAGTTTAAATAACTTGCTCAAGTACACAGGAAGTTAGGGATGGAGTCGGGTTTGTAAATATGTCTGTCTTGCCCGTTGTTCATGTATGGCTTGTTCTTTTAAATGTCTTTCTTCAACATAAAGACTTAAAATTAAAACTTCATTATACCAATTAATTCTTATCTACCTCCCAAAGCAGTTGGGTAGTTTGAAACCAGAGGTAGTGTTTCCTATATTCAGTTCAGAGATGAGGGTCTTTAATTTTCAACCACTGTGTCCCAGTCATTGATGGGTAAGTCGAAGTTTCAGGGACATGAAGGTGGAAAGAAAGTTGAGAATAATGGAGTTAGAGAAACCAAAGAAGATAATTAGTGATCTTTTGAAAAGGTCACTTTAAAAACTGAAGCTAAATAAATAAATAAATATAAAAACTGAAGCTAACATTTTTTTTCTGATTATAAAGTTATTGTCTGGTATCTGAAAGTAATTATAACTGATTTGTTACACATGACAATTATTTGATAATGCCCCCACATTTTAAAATCCTAAACTTCTTAGATGTGTTTTCACATTATCTCATTTGATCCTTATGACAACTTTATGATACAGTATCTTTATTTTACAGATGATGAAACTGAAGGTCAAAGAGATTGAAGTAACCAAAAGTTGCATGTGTCTGAGTGGGAAAAGTAGGCCTAGAACCTGGAATTTCTTTTTTTTTAAGATTTTATTTATTTATTCACGAGAGACACAGAAAGAGAGGCAGAGACACAGACAGAGGGAGAAGCAGGCTCCCTATAGGGAGCTCGATGCAGGACTCAATCCTGAGAATCCAGGATCACACCCTGAGTCAAAGGCAGATGCTCAACTGCTGAGCTACCCAGGCATCCTGGAACCTGGGATTTCTATGTCAAAGCCCTTTGTGCTCTCAGCTGTCCTCTTGGCTTCCTAAGAAAACAATATATAGTAATTTTCTCTTGTCAATATATTTACAGATTCCTAGATGATGAACTTTAGAAATTATGTGTGCTTCTGTATATGTGTATGTGCATGAACAAACTTTAATATTGTTTTTTCTATTTTTGAGTACATATTTTGGGGCTTTTTTTTTCTTTCAGTATTCAAAGATAGTTCCCAGAAAGACCTGCTGAATTTCACTGGCACTATTCCTGTCATGTACCAGGGTAAGTGAGAAAATGTTGGAATTTTGTAAAAGAGCAGTTTCACAAGAACTTATATTTGTTTAGTTCCATAACATTCTCAAAGTATTTTCACATGTATGTATATATGACCTGTATAGAACCTTATTGGATATAGCAGAATGCCGTCCCATTCAAGGTGGCCTAGCTTAATATCTACAAATTCAATTCAGTTCAACAAGTACTTACTGAGTGCCAACTATGTGCCTATACTCTGTTAGGTGCTGGGGTACAGAGGAGAGAGTAAGACAGATGTTGGGGAGGAAGACCTTCCTCTGCCCTGTGGTCCTTTTAGCTGGATTTCAAATCAAATTGACATGAGACAGATGAAAAGGAGAAATTCGAACTTAATAGGCACGCATATGAGGAATGCACACAGACGTGAGATTCCAAAGACAGTGAGGTAGCATGAAGTTTTTGTGAGCTAAGGAAAGGGAAGAGGCCTGTGGACACAAAAGGAAGAAAGACCATTAGCAAGAAGGGAAAGGAGATGCTTGGAAAAACAAAGATTGCCCTATTATGCAGATAATGTTTTTAGGTAAAGGGGAGTCTCTATTAAGAGTACTCTTCCTGTGAATGGATAAAGATGTGGTTTATGTATACAATGGAATACTACTCAGCCATTAGAAATGACAAATACCCACCATTTGCTTCGATGTGGAACTGGAGGGTATTATGCTGAGTGAAATAAGTCAATCGGAGAAGGACAAACATTATATGGTCTCATTCATTTGGGGAATATAAAAAATAGTGAAAGGGAATAAAGAGGAAAGGAGAAAAAATGAGTGGGAAATATCAGAAAGGGAGACAGAACATGAGAGACTCCTAACTCTGGGAAATGAACTAGGGGTGGTGTAAGGGGAGGTGGGCAGGGGGTGGGGGTGACTGGGTGATGGGCACTGAGGGGGGCACTTGATGGGATGAGCACTGGGTGTTATTCTATATGTTTGCAAATTGAACACCAATAAAAAATAAATTTATTTAAAAAAAAAAAAGAGTACTCTTCCTGGAATATACCCTTTTTTCCAGAATAAATATAGGCATTTGAGAGGGAGACAGCTTTTCCGGCATCTGCTGTATTTCAATTACTTTTAACTCAAAATAATCTTTATGGCAAAGTGGCCCATCTTGAGCATCATGCCCTGAGCCCCTGCACAGACATAGACCTGCTCTTTGGAGAGTTCACTTTGCTTTCCCTAGTAAAATGCAAGGGTCGCACCTTTTTCTCCACTGCATCAATGTTTTATTCCTCTCCCTTCTCCTCTGTATGATGTCCCCATTCTATGGGTGAAACTGAATCTTAGCCTAGTCAAGTGATTTACCTAAGACCACACAGCTGGTATTAGGCTATAACTTGAAACTCCAGTAGTACATTTGGGGGTCATTATAGCTCAAAGGAAGCAACATCTTTTCAGATAGCCTGACAGCTTAAAATAGTTAAGTGTTTGCCTAGCAAAACAAAACATCACTAGCTTCCCTATACTTAATTCTTCCTATATGTGCAGACCTACTTCCATCAGTGTTCAACAGGACTAACCTTTCAGATAGGTATCATAGGTGATTGCTTATATAATATGATGTAAAGAACACCAGTGAAGCATTGGTTCTAATATATGTCTCTGAAGGGGTGCCTGAAATTCCACAACTAAAAATTTATTCCTCTTTTAAAATGCAAATAATCCCAGGAAGGATGTTATCCAAAATCACTAATAAACAGTGCTGTGTTTATAGAAAATGCTTGATAAATGTTTGTTGAAGGTCAAGTTCATTTATTTGATTACTGACTACCAAAGGAATTTGCTGGGCATTTGAGAGAAGAAGTGCCCTTAAAAATGGGCTGAGGAGGGTCTGAAAACAAATGGGGAGAGAACAGTGGAGTTTGCTCCTTTGCAAAAGATTCAGTTCTATACTATGGGAATATTCTGCCCCCAAAAAGATGCCCAGAAGCTATATTTTGGGGGACTTTTTTTCAAAGTAAGTGCTTTGTATGGTATTCCCTAGACTTTTACAAACCCTCTCTAATTTCTTCCCCTCCATGGTGACTTATTGCCTGAGGCTCACTCATGTTTTATTCTGCCTCTGTTCATGTCCCACCGTGACACCTCCTTTGCCACAGGAAGTGCATTGAAATTCAGTTTGGTTTTTATACATAGGAATGTGGTTGGAGATGAAAGTAGATAGCAGTGAGCTCTGCAGAAATTGAAGAATTTTTATTTTCCTCCTTCTCCTCTCCTGCCAAGCTCTCAGACTCTTTTCTAACTGCCTCAACACCTTTGTTCAGATATGATCCCCATTACTTGTGTTCTGCATTTATTATGATTAGGTGTTAAAAAGAGAGAGAATTATTGCCCACCCCAATGATTGATTGGTTGATTGACTTCATTCTTATTAGCCACCCCAGTGATATCAAGGGCAGTTACATTTTACAGAGGAGCTCATGAATTTAAATGAATCACAGCTTAGTAGCATTTCAGTTTCAAGGACAATGTGGGAAAGTAACAGGAAGGCATAAAACTTATTTTAATATCATTGGTATGATGCCCCTCGTTGGCATTCTGCGTCTCCAAGAGCCAAGGAGTTATTTCACTAATTCTCACACTGGGTCTTCCAAGGTAGTAATGGTACCTGCAGTATCTTCATTTTTTCAGTACATTCTTTTTTCTTCTTTGCTTTTGAGTAGAATTATATCAACTCAATATAATCCACACTAGTTATTTCCTTTTGATCAGAAGGTCAGAATGTATTATCTCTCTTGTCTGTAAAATGGTACAATAATAGAGCCTCACTCTAAAATTAGGAGTATTAAATGAATTACTGTAAGTAAAGCTCTTGGCATAATGGCTGGCACATAATAAATGTTTAATAAATTGGCACATAATAAATTTTTAATAAATTATTAATTGTCTGCCTATATTTTTCACTTTCTAGTTTTATTAGTATAATAATGATATATACTCACGCTAAAACAATTTAAACAATTGAGAAAGGAAGTGGTTAAGCTTATACCTAACTTTCCACCCAGTCCTAATTTCCCGAATAAATCTTCCATCGGTATTTCCTTATGTATGCTTGCAGACATTTTCTAGATTATTTGTTATCTTCAAGATAGTGTCAAGGTTGTGATGACACTTTTTCTTCATCCACTCATTTAGAGATGTGTATTCATCTTAATAAGATGATACCCATCTGAACTTCACTTACAGCTAACTTAAATTATATTTTTATGATATAATTACTTCAGATCCAAGGACTCTACCAGCAGTTCTGACTCTTTGGTAATGAATTTCTGAAACCTAAATGGGCAGGTACAAGGCAGGACATTTGTCGACCAAAAAGAATGGGAAAGAAGGAAGAAGAGAACAAATCAGTAGTGAATCTTACCAGTTAGACACAGGAATCCTGTTCACTGGTTGCTTTGCCAAGCATGGGCTGTTCAAATGCATGGATGCTGCTGGGGAGGTGCATTGCGGGAGGCAGCAAATCCTTGATCAATTAGGAATATACCATCAATAGACATTCCTTTTCTTTAATGTGTAGTGATTAGTGGCACCATCAGGATTTGTCCTACTTCTCCAGCAATATTATGAAACAAAAAAAATCCGCATGGTCTAGAACAGTGGCTTTCTAATGTTTTGATTGTGACGCATAATAGTTTTATATACATAGGTAGCATACACATGCACGCATACACACTATATACATGTATATGAAACGCTATACTACTTGTCATATATTCTATTTTCTTTTCAATTCCATTTTACAATGTTGCTTGCAGCCTACTAAATTAATTTTGTGACCCTACTAAATTAATTATTGTGGCCACAATTTGAAAAACACTACTTTATTTTATTTTATTTATTTATTTATTTATGATAGTCACACACAGAGAGAGAGAGAGGCAGAGACACAGGCAGAGGGAGAAGCAGGCTCCATGCACCGGGAGCCCGACGTGGGACCCGATCCCGGGTCTCCAGGACCACGCCCTGGGCCAAAGGCAGGCACCAAACCGCTGCGCCACCCAGGGATCCCCCTGAAAAACACTACTTTAGAGAGTATATGACATTCGACAGAGTGCTTCTGGAGGAATTTGATGGTGTGTCTCAGTACCTGTCAGTCACTTTGTGGTGCTATGATCACATGACTTCATAATCATAGAATTATCTATCATCAATAGCTATGCCTATACCCAAATTATAAATACTTAGACACCATGGTGACAGATATTAACTTAACAGTTATTAATAATAACAGTTATTAACAATAACAGTTAACAGTAACAATAACAGTAACAGTTATTAACAATAATATTGTGGTAATAACAAGTCATTATGTTGTATAGTGAAACTAATGTATGTCAATTATATCTCAGTTTTTAAAATTGTTTTTAAATTTTTTTTTAATTTTTAATTTTTATCCATTTATGATAGTCACATAGAATGAGAGAGAGAGAGGCAGAGACACAGGCAGAGGGAGAAGCAGGCTCCATGCACCGGGAGCCCGACGTGGGACTCGATCCCGGGTCTCCAGGATCACGCCCTGGGCCAAAGGCAGGCGCCAAACCGCTGCGCCACCCAGGGATCCCTGTTTTTAAAACTGAGACAAAAGTAGAGGAGGAGTGTGATTCTGAGAAATGATAGAAAAAAATAGACCCACAAGTATCAGGACATTTCTTTTTTTTTTTTTAAATTTTTATTTATTTATGATAGTCACACAGAGAGAGAGAGAGAGAGGCAGAGACACAGGCAGAGGGAGAAGCAGGCCCCATGCACCGGGAGCCCGACGCGGGACTCGATCTGGGGTCTCCAGAATCGCGCCCTGGGCGAAAGGCAGGCGCCAAACCGCTGCGCCACCCAGGGATCCCTATCAGGACATTTCTATACTGATTTACAATCCTACCTGCACATTAGAATTACATGGGAAGCTTTTAAAAAAATTCTATCCACACCCCATCCCACCGAATCAGTAACTTTGGGGGAGTGGCCTGGCTATTGGGATGTTTCCAAGTACCTTAAGTGAGTCTACCATGCAGGTATGGCTGAGTATCATTGTATCCTTAGAGGAAGAAGCAAGATGAGAAAAGCTGTCAGTGGGAGGAGGATTTCCTTAGCAAGAAAAGGACTGCAGTGGGAAATAAAACTTTTAATTTAGACCCAGCCTATTTCCAAAATGGGTTTTAGGTAAATTACAAAAATTGCCAACCCTACATGGTTCCATGTCATGTATTTTTCTAAGCATTTTACATACCTTAACTAATTCCATCCTCAGAGCAACCTTGTGGGGTAGGAGCTATTATTATTACCATTTTATAGATTAAGGAATTGAAGCACAGAAAAGTTAAGGAACTTGCCTAAAATCATATAGCTAGTCATGGGTAAAACTAGAATTTGAACCTAGACATTCTTGCTCCTGAGCAGCCATATTCATAAATACAGTGAAAGACATGCAGTAAGACTATGAAAGCAGGAATGACTATCAGAAGATACAGTAGAACAGCTAAGGTAACTGATCAGATTTGTAGTTTAAGTTTGGTTTTGCATTTTTATTAGGTTTAGCTTTGGGCTTCCTGGCAATCAGGGCAGTCAGCGGGCATAATGTATGTACGTGGCTTTTGTTCTCAGTAGGCATAATGTATGTACATGGTTAACAATGGAAGAGCACGCATGCCTGTCTCTTGGTATGCCAAAATTTAAGAACCACTAGACAAGGGGACTGATAAGGTTATTTTCAGGTCTACGTTCTATGTTACCTAACCCAGCTCATTCGCAATTAATGAGGAACTTGAAGGTCAGCATCAAATGTATCAAATTCATCTTTGTTAATTCATCCATTTTTAATTTGTTCATTCACTCCTGTATAAGAAACTTATTGTCAGACAGTATGTTAGGCACTATACTTGATGCAGGGGATCTAGAAATGAATAATACATAATCCCCTGGAAGTTTACAATGTGAAAGGAAACACAGACCTGTAAGGAGATAACTTCAGTGCAGAATAAGTATAAAAATAGAAGTGTCCACTGCTTTTCAAAAGAGTTGCAATAGCTCCATTTGGGTGGAACAAAGAAGGTTATGTAGAAAAGATGCTGTATCCCAAATTCCTGGCATAGTAGCTCCTGTAAATATTTATTGAATTTAATTAGATGAACTGGCCATTGTCTTATTTAACTTTCTTCAAGTGTTATGCTGGTGCTTTACACTATGGGAACATGAAAATGGAGAAGTAGGCCTTGATTTATACAAATTCTTTACATATACACTTAACTACAGATCTTATTTTTTTTACGATTTTATTTATTTATTCATGAGACACACACACACACACACACACACACACAGAGAGGCAGAGACACAGGCAGAGGGAGAAGCAGGCTCCTGTGGGACCCAGGAAATTTAACAAAAATCCCCTACCCCTGGACAAGCAGAGCAGGACTAACTCCATTTTGTGCTGCACCTGCCACCTGTATGGCCCCCACATGACCTGCTTATTGCTTAAGGTGCTGCCCCACCCTAGTCAAGCCTCTGGGCACACCCTAATTGGAAATCGGCTCAGTGATAGGCCAGTTCAAATGGATACTTTAGGGTAAAATGTAATTCAATCGGCCACCTGCTTGTGGACCCACCACTGTGCAACTTTCTGCGTATCCCATTGGCCACTGGCCCCTATAAAGCGCTACGCCTCTCAGTCTCGGGGTCCAAGTCCCTGAGTCCCTGCTCCGCTGTGTCGGATATGCTTAGACCCAAGCTCGAGCTTGTAAATAAACCCTCGTGTGTTTGCATCGGTGTCGGCTCCATGGTGGTTTCTCAGATTCGCGATCTTGGGCACAACAGCTCCATACAGGGACACCCTGGGCCGAAGGCAGGCGCCAAACCTCTGAGCCACCCAGGGATCCCCTAAACTACACATCTTAAAATGCCACCTTGCTGTATCATGAATGTAATGTGCATACTTCATCATTGTCTGAAAGTGTGTTTGTCTCAAATAGGTAATACCTATAACATACCAATTCGTCTGTGGATTTTGGATTCCCACCCGTTTGCTCCCCCCATTTGCTTCTTAAAGCCAACCGCAAACATGGGAATCTCAGTTGGAAAACATGTGGATGCTCAAGGCAGAATTTACTTGCCCTATCTTCAAAACTGGAGCCATGTAAGATCAATTTGGATTTTCTTTTATGAGCCTTTATTTTTCTGAGTATTTCTCTTTATCCTAATGGTACAAATAAGTTACTGAATTTTCTTTCAGTGGTATTTCTCACATGAACTTTAAAAGTAATTTGAAATTGAGCTCCCTGGAGTCACCCAAGTTCCAGAACCCCAGTGGCAAAAAGCAGCCTGCATGAAGTGCTGTCTATAACTATTACTGGGAGCTCAATTATTTGGAACCAACTATTATTTGCTCCCCCTCTTTTTATGGTTGTTTACTGCTTGATTAAAGCACATGAAAAGCTACTGGCAAGATAATGGACACTATTTCTTAGTCCCTCCTTATTAAAGATTCTTATGTAATATGTGTATTTATTTGTAGTTTTGCCTGCTTTTTACTTTTATGTAAATTGAATCATACTATATATAACCTTCTGTTATATGTTTTGTTTTAACTGAACATTTTTAAAAATTCATTCACAGTGATATATGGAACTAGTTTATTTAGTTCATAAGTTTTCACATTATGCAGTTTTGTTTTCTGTATTTTTTTCATCTACCATTATGCTGAGCACTTCTCATTTTAAACAATATTTTCAAAATACATGGTCTTTAATTGGTTACCTGATACCACATAAAGATATTGGCATTATGTATTTACAAATTGCTCTGTTGTTAGAAATTGAATAATGAGCATCCTTAAAGATAAAGATATGCAAACATAAGGGTGTATATATTATAAATCTTTAATAATTTAGTAATGATAAATCTCTAGGAATGGAATTACTGGATCAAAGTTTATAAATGTTTTGAAGGCTATTCTTACATATTGCCAAATTGGCCTCCAAAAGGTGGACAAAATGTATGTCTATGATCACTTGAAATCAGCATAGAATACCTCTTTTTCAGCACCCATGTTCTGGCAGAAAGTATTATTATTAAAACAAAACAAACTTTTGCTTATCTCCATATATTTATTTAGAAGGGTATATAATGTGTTCTCATTTTTGGAAGTAAGATTTTTATGAAAGGATAATTTATAATATATTTATATGTATCCAGGATGTTGTGGGACAGGAGGACCAGGAATCCTTGAAAGAGACCAGGGATAGGTCAAGGGTCAAGTATAGCTGGAGTAAAGGATGGTGTTAGGATTACAACTTTTTATTTTATATACATCTCATAAGAAAGCATGCAGTTATGGGCATGTTTTACTTTGTTTTTATACTTTTCTGTATTTTTAATATGTATAAAACCTTTAAAAAAGAAAAGAAATACAAAAAGAAGTGATGCACACCAAGTAGTTGGCAATGGAGAATAGGTGGAGGAACATTGACTTTTTACTTTATGAATTTGTATGTCATTTGCATTATTTGGTGATTTTCATAAATAAGATTGATAGATCAACGTGATAAATTAGGCATAATAAAAATTTGTCAGTTGGAGGGACCTTAATGTTTTTCTGTTATTTGAGAAATTGAAATCTTTTTCATATATTAATCAGTCATGTATGTTCCTTCTTTTTTGAATTGTCTTCTGTCTCCTTCATCCATTTTTACCCTTTTTTTTTTTTTTTTTAGCTATCCTCAAACAGTATTTTGACATCTCTAGCCTGTTGTGGGAATTTATATTTCCTGTTTCCCTTTTCTCATTTTCACTTGCATCTCTTTTCATAGTTTTGTTTGTATGGTAAATACTCAGATAATAGTCTAGCTGAGGTTGTGCTTGACTTCAGACAATATTGGTTTCATTTTACTATTCTGAACCTTTTTATTATATGCTAAAACTAGATTTTTTAAAAAGATTTTATTTATTCATGAGAGACACAGAGAGAGAGGCAGAAACTTAGGCAGAGGGAGAAGCAGGCCCCCTTCAGGGAGCTTGATATGGGACTCAATCCCAGGACCCTGAGATCACCATGTGAGCCGATGGCAGATGCTAAACCACTGAGCTACCCAGGTGCCCCTAGTTTTCTTTTTTTTTAATTTAATTAATTAATTTATTTATTTTTAAGATTTTTTATTTATTCATAGAGACACACACACAGAGAGAGGCAGAGACAGAGGCAGAGGGAGAAGCAGGCTCCATGCAGAGAGCCTGACATGGGACTCTATCCTGGGTCTCCAGGAGGTGCTAAACCGCTGCACCACCGGGGCTGCCCCTCTTTTTTTTAAAATAGAATTAGAACTAGTCTTAAGAAGACATTACATTATTTAAATTGTCCTATTTAAAAGTACTACAGTAACTTTAAGTTCCTTGTGTGGTTGGAATTATAATTATGTAGTACAATTACGCAGAATTTTGGAGCTGAAGGAATCTAGAAATGTCTAGACCAAGGATTACAGACATTTTCCATAAGAGATTCAATGTGCTGTGTTAGACCTATATTTTAGACAATATTTACTAACATATTTAGGGGTGAAAAGGTATTGGATCTGCAATTTATTCTCAGTTGGTTCAGAAAAATATGGAGAGGGAAAGAGACTGAGAAAATATGTGCTAAAATGTTAACATTTGAGTGATCTGGGTGAAGAATATATGAAAATTCTTTGTACTTTTTTGCAACTTTTATATAAGTCTGCAATTATTTCACAATTAAATAATTAAAATAGGGGGGGGGGCGCCTGGATGGCTCAGTCGGTTAAGCATCTATCTGCCTTCAGCTCGGGTCATGATCTCAGGATCCTGGGATGGAGCCCCTCATTCACCTCCGCTCCCTGCCCAGTGAGGAACCTGCTTCTCCCTCTCCCTTTGCCCCTCCCCCTGCTCGGTTCTCTCTCTCTCTCTCTCTCTCTCTCTCAAATAAAATTACTTTAAAAAGTCAAATAAAAAGATAGGCAGATGGTTCCTGAACATATAAGTACTTTGCTATAAGCACATTCATGTTATTTTCTCATCTTTCGGAGATGTAGACTAGCATTTCTCTAATTTTCAGTTAAAAGAATTAAGTAATTTTTGGCTTAATACTATCATGTAATTTGTATGGTAGTTTTCCAAAAATAAGAGCATAATGCAAAACTTTCTTTTAGTTAACTTTAGATAATGTATAGTAATGTATAGGTTAAGAAGGTAATATTCTTTTTTTTTTTAAGATTTTATTTTATTCATTCATGAGAGAGACAGAGAGAGAGAGAGAAAGAGGCAGGCAGAGGGAGAAAGCAGGCTCCCGCAAGGAGCCCAATGCAGGACTCAATCCTGGATCCCCAGGATCACGCCCCAAGCCGAAGGCAGACGCCCAACCACTGAGCCCCCCAGGTGTCCCAAGAAGGTAGTATTCTTTAGGAAATTTTTTGCATAACTTTTCCTTTTGTGTGTATTCTGCAGCCTAAATCTGTCATTGTTGGACTAATTAAAGAAATGATTGCCAAGTTTCAAGAGGAACTTCCCCTGTATTCTCTATCATCATCTGATGAGGCACGGCAGGTAGACTTGCTAGCCTATATTGCAAAAATCACTGAAGGTTTGTATTTTTTGTTAATCAGAGAGTTATGAATTTACATTTTCTCACTAATATCCTTTACTCTCTGCTACTGGATTTCTATAAATAAAAATATTCATGTATCTGTACATATCTGTGTTGAATCAAAAATTCTTTCCTATACATCTGTCATAGGGTGTTACCATATAGTTCCAATGAATGTGGTTTCTTAAAATGTGAAAGCTTACTCTTATACTGACAGATAAAACAGTTTGTGTTTGTTCAAAATTACTTGATATATATTAATGATCCCAAACCTTTTTCATTATATACTTAAGTATCTTTTTGCCTCATTCAATATTGGGCCAGAAAATCTCTGATTCTCCATGTTTCTCATTGAGGATAAGTCAGATATCCACACTTATGAAAGTCAGTAAGGCATTGAATATTTTTGCCTTATAGACTAGAGCAGTAAGAATCAGAATGCTTTTCAGAATTATGGAAATCCTATTTTTTAGTCTTAGGCTCTGTTGAGGAGAATATTTACTGAGATTCCTGTTTGTCTTGCATTTCACTTGTTCAAGTATTTTCGAATGCTTATGGAGTAGCATCATGTTTTCTGTCCAAGCTATTGAAGGTTGGTGTACTTTTTTAAGATGCTAAAAAAGATTTTTTGATATTATTTCAAAACTCTCATGATAATTCACTTTTATTTCTAGGTGTCTCAGACATAAATTCAAAGAACTGGGTAAATTATGAGCATAAAACCGTCAATAAAATTACTGTGGTTGGAGGTGGAGAACTGGGTATTGCCTGCACATTAGCAATCTCAGCAAAGGTATGTAAGCATAGTGGTTAGATATCCGTCTATCACATTGCTAGACTTTTAGGTAGTTTATGTTTAACATACAAGAAATAATGACTTCATTTTGTCATGTGGAAAAAACTCATTTTACCTTAAAATGTATTTAGTAACTTGGCAAAAAAAAAAAAACCTGAAAGCTCTCATCAGGGATATTGCTTCTTAATTAGTACTTGGAATAGGCTTTTAAAAAGTTATTTGAAATAAATAAATAGATAGATAGATAGATAGATAGATAGATAGATAGATAGATAGTGATTTGAACAGGATCCCTGGGTGGCTCAGCGGTTTAGCGCCTGCCTTCGGCCCAGGGCGTGATCCTGGAGTCCCGGGATCAAGTCCCATGTCAGGCTTCTGCATGGAGCCTGCTTCTCCCTCTGCCTGTGTCTCTGCCTCTCTGTGTCTCTCATGAATAAATAAATACAATTTTTTTAAAAAAAGTGATTTGAACAATGGGCTCATCATCCTATTCCAAGGGAAACCTCAACCTGACATTCATCTAACTTAGTCACCAATTCCTTTGTGTTTTCTGAGTCATGACGCTTTAATTAAGCTCTTATTTAATGTAATACTTAATTTTAGCTCTTTCTAAAATTAACATTTTTTCTTAAAGATTGCCTTTTCTTGTGTAATTACTCTATATTCTCTTAAGATAATAATTTCTAAGTTAATATTTTACACTAGCTTGAAATTTATTTTTCCATCAGTCCTTTTTACTAGATCTTTTTGTATATAAATTATTTTCAGGAAAGCTTAAATTCTCTTCCAGAGAAGTTCAAAAGACCCTCCAGGGTCCCAGTATCATGGTAACGGCATGTCTGTGTCTTTTTTTTTTTTTTTTTTTTTTTTAATTTATGATAGTCACACAGATAGAGAGAGAGGCAGAGACACAGGCAGAGGGAGAAGCAGGCTCCATGCACCGGGAGCCCGACGTGGGATTTGATCCCGGGTCTCCAGGATCACGCCCTGGGCCAAAGGCAGGCGCCAAACCGCAGCGCCACCCAGGGATCCCAGCATGTCTGTGTCTTTTCAGGGATGTAGCCCAGAGTAGAATAGCTGCTCCTCTCTGTTTATTTGGTAGCTGACATTTTGTTTTTACTTTTCTATTAAAATGTTGTCATCTAAGTTCTTTCCTTTTTACTTCAGACTCACATATGTCTCAGAGATAGGTTCTACTTTAGTAAATAATTAAATTATATCCAGGGAGCTAGAAAATTTTAAAAGCTGGCTGTGTAGAACAACATATGCTGACTTTTGACTTCGCTTCATTTCCTCCACCCTCCATCTGAATATACTAACTAGTCAATCCCTCTTAATTGGAATTTGAACTGTTTTCAGTTCCTTTGTTACTAAACAGAATCCTTCCATAAATACTGCTTTACGAGTTGCTTATTTTCTCCTCTGAATTTTCTTTAAGGTGTACATAATCTCAAAAACAGTACTAGTGAATCAGAGGGCATGAATGGTTTTTATGGCACTTATTACATATTGCTAGTTGCACTTCAGAAAGGCAGATTTAGGGATCCCTGGGTGGCGCAGCGGTTTGGCGCCTGCCTTTGGCTCAGGGCGCGATCCTGGAGACCCGGGATCGAATCCCATATCGGGCTCCCGGTGCATGGACCCTGCTTCTCCCTCTGCCTGTGTCTCTGCCTCTCTCTCTCTCTCTCTCTGTGACTATCATAAATAAATAAATTAAAAAAAAAGAAAGGCAGATTTATGCTGCTCATAACAGTTATGCACATCAATCTGATTTTTTGACATCCTTAACAGTATTGAGTTTTATCAATGTTGTTGAGTTTTGGTAAGTACAAGAAAGCCCCTTAAAAAAAAAAAAAAAAAAGGAAGGCCCCTTAAAGTCATGTTTCTTTACCATCTCACTATCAGTACTCCTTTGTAAACTGTCCAAATGGAAATTTTGTTCCATTTTCTTTGTAAATATTAATATTTTGATACAAGATACATGCAATGTTATGATACAGTATTAGTCATAATAATATCAGTAGTAGTGGTGGTCATAGCGCCAGCAACTGACCTTTACTGATTGAATGCTTACTAGGTGCCCGGCGCTCAGCTAAACACTTGACTAATTTTTACTAAATTTTACCTAACCCTATATGTTGGGTACTATCATTACTACCATTTTACAGATGAAGTTGCATAATTTGCCCAAAGTCACACTGTTAATAAATGGAGGCAGGATTTGAAGTAAGGCAGTCTATTTACAGAGCCTGTATCCTAAATCTTTTACTACTCAGGCTGTGGCTTTCAGACCAGCAGCACTGGTGATACCTGAGATCTTATTGGAGTTGTATTATCTAAGGTCCCACCCCAGACCTATGGGAGCAAATCTGCATTTTGACACAAAACCCCTGGTGTCCCATGTGCTGCACTGATCTAAATTGTGATCCCCTCCCGCCCTTTTTTTTTTTTTTTTAAGATTTTATTTATTTATTCGTGAGAGACGCAGAGAGGCAGAGACACAGGCAGGGGGAGAAGCAGGCTCCATGCGGGGAACCTGATGCAGGACTCAATCTCAGGACCCCAGGATCATGACCTAAGCCAAAGGCAGATGCTCAACCACTGAGCTACCCAGTGGCTGAATGATGATCCCTTAAAGTATGGGAAATTCTGCTTTAAGCCATAATGTTATCCTGCTTCATTATTGCTATCATACTTACACACAGACATTAGGTCATTTCTAGCTCTTTAAATATCCTTATACATGTTGTATTATGTTACCTATGTACTAATAAACTTGTAGGATAATTTCTGTAAATGAGATAGATGGATTAAAGGAATTACCATTTTTAATTAGCAATAATCAAGCCTTGGATAAACCTCATTGGTACTGCGCAAAGCTGGAATTACTCTTTTTAAATTTTGGTAGAACTTGTCAAATTATCCTCCGTATCAGTTGTACCAGTTTATTCCCATATCCATAGTATGTAAGAATGCCTGTTTTCCCACATTATTGTTGTTAAACTTTTGGGTCTTTCTGTGTCTCATAATTAAAAATGATAACTCAGTTTTCTTTGCATTTCTCTTTCGAGTGTAGTTGACAGTAATAAAATTAATAGGTACAAGTTAGAGAGGACTTCTCTCTGTCAGCTCTGGGTCACATAGTAATCCTCATAGCCCCATGAAATAAGGCGAAGTTCAGTGACTTGCCCAGTGTCACAGAGCTAATAATGCTATAGATGGGTTTTCTTTTGTACTTTCTGCCTGGCAGTCTGGTGGATCCCTGGGTATTCTTGCCTCTGTACCCTAATATAGGAAAGATCCTCAAACTGCTTACCACTTTAGAAGAAGACCTTCCATAGGGCACCTGGGTGACTCAGTTAAGCATCTGCCTGCAGCTCAGGTCATGGTCTCAGGGTCCTGGGATCCAGCTGCACATTGGGCTCCCTGTTCAGTGGGGAGTCTTCTTCTCCATCTCCCTCTGCCCCTCCTCACTCCTTGTGTTTTTTTCTCTCTCTCTCAAATAAATAAATAAATCTTTAAAGAAAAGAAAAAGAAAAATACTCATAAAGCATAAAGGTAACTTGACTCTGAGAAGTTTCTGTGCCGTCATTTACAGTTAGCCTACTGTGGCAACCAGAGAGCCATCTACAGGCATGTGGAGTGTTTTCCGTTAGATATCTGGGAAGAGTTCTACATGATAATAGGATTTTATTTTAGATTTATTATCTTTTTTTTTTAAAGAGAAAGTTAGCATTGGTATTGACTTTCATGCTAGAAATGAGGCATTAAAATAGAGCAAAAAATCACTCTCAGTACTTTCAAAATGGAAATTATGACATTAAAATGAAAACATAAACTCAAGAAACAGCAGCAAATGTATTCAGTGCACCAAATTATCTTAATTACTCCTGTCCCATCAAAGGAAATCTGCAATCTGTGACTTCTGGGTTAAGTCCTACTAGATCCCAATTTTCTGTTAAGCCTAAAGGATCACATTTCAAAAGTTCATAGTAGTTTCTTCCTTGCACATCCTTTTCACTGCTATTATATTACCTTTTCTTCATAAGACAGCATACGAGGCTGTGCATTCTCCTTTAGCTTCACTTCTGAATGAACTTAAATTGAGTAACTGGCTGTGTTTGTGTAATGCTGTATGTTCTTATTATACTGTACAGGGCATTGCAGACAGACTGGTCCTCTTGGACCTCTCAGAAGAGACGAAAGGAGGGGTAATGGACCTTGACATCTTTAGCCTGCCTAATGTGGAGATCAGCAAAGGTCTGCTTATAAGATGCTTGCCTCATATTTGAGTCCTAGAATTTTTTTTTAATACACTTTTTTTGGAACAGTTTTAAGTTTTAAGCAACATTGAATGGAAGGTTTCCCATATATATCCCTTTATCCCTGCACATGGACAGCCTCCCCCATTATTAGCATTCCCCACTAGAGTGGCACAATTGATGAGCCTACTTTGACACATCATTAATCATCCAAAAGTCATAATTTACTTTGGGGTTCATTCTTGGTGTTGTACATTCTGTGGGTATGGACAAATCTATAATGACATGTATTTACCATTATAGTATCTTTTACTACCCCCAAAATCCTCTGTGCCCTGCCTTGAGTCATAGAATTTTAATGCTAAGAAGCATTAAAGATCACCTAGTCCAAGTTCCTCATTTTACATATTAGGGAAACTAAGATTCAGATAAATAAAGTGACTTATCCAAAGCCATACAGATTGTAATTGATTATATAAACAAGAGTCAGATGAGCAGATAACATTCTTATTGGTCAGAAGGATTTATTCTGTCTTTGACTTAAGCTACAGTATAAATTTGTTTTCTTTGATTGGTTCCATGCTCATAATATATTGGTTAAGAGCACTGGTTTTAGAGATGGGGGTCCGTCCCAACTCTGTCACATTATAACTCTGGCATTTGTCAGGTTATATAACCTCTCAAAGTTTAGTTTTATCATCTACGAAGTGGGAATAATACTTACTATATCTTGGTATATGTCAGAGTTAAGATTTTTACAAAAAATGCATATGGCTTTCACCAAAAATATATTGTTAAAATAAGTCTTAATAAGAACAAAAAAGACTTTGTATCCTTTTTTTTTAAATTTATTTATTTATGATAGTCACAGAGAGAGAGAGAGAGGCAGAGACACAGGCAGAGGGAGAAGCAGGCTCCATGCACCGGGAGCCCGATGTGGGATTCGATCCCAGGTCTCCAGGATCACGCCCTGGGCCAAAGGCAGGCGCCAAACCGCTGCACCACCCAGGGATCCCGATTTTGTATTCTTAATAAATAAAAATATAAATGTTAGGAAAGTAGTTTTTATCTCATCTTAATTTAAATATTTGCATATATTTTATAATGTCCATAGTGTACATATATGTAGGTAAATACCGATTTGGGGATGTGGGCTTAAAATATATATATATATATATCACACACACACACACATATATTTAAAGATTTTATTCATTTATTCATGAGAGACACACACAGAGAGAGAGAGAGAGAGAGAGAGAGAGGCAGGCAGAGACATAGACAGAGGGAGAAGCAGGCTCCATGTGGGACTCAATCCCGAGTCTCCAGGATCAGGTCCCAGGCTGAAGGCAGTGCTAAACTGCTGAGCCACCCAGTCTGTTCCCCAATTTTTTTTTCCAAAAATATTTTATTACTAGAGATGCATGATCAAAAAAACTGGAAGACAAGGTTAAAGCTAAAGTCAAATTGTAATATGTTCTAGTTGTTTGGCTTTCCTTATTTAGGTCCCCTGAATTCCTTGCCCATATTTTCCCCAAAAAAATCAAGGTAGTCAGTCACAAGCCTGATTGTAGTAAGAACAACAGTGGGTGAGAAAAGTTGAAATTATACCTGCATGTTATACTTTGGGTGTGATATTTGAAGTAAGCTTCTGGATCCCTGTAGGATATAACCAGTTCATTTTCCTTGTCTAGAAAGAGTACAATATTTGCTTTAATGATCCTTTTGTAGGCATCATATAGAGGATCCCTTAGGGAACTGGTTATTCTCTTGTGCCTGTCATTTCCAAGTACTGAAGTTCTTAAGGGACCTTTTAACTCTTCCAAATCACTTTAGGAGACGTGGACTCCAGAGGTTGTGAGGCCTTTTAGGACCTGAAGAAATTGTTTCTTCCTATGTATCTCATTAACCATCAGTAACTATCATTTCATGTAATTGAAAGAATAGACTCCTTGGAGCAGAGGTATAGTGTACTTGCTACCAACTAGGGAATGTTGAATGAGTCCACACCATCTTAGGGCAACTTTCATGTTCTTCTTGTTAATTTGGTTATATATTCCTGATAACACTGTATTTACTACTATTACATGAAGAATTTTATCTGTTTATTTATTTTTAAAGATTTTATTTATTTATTCCTGAGAGACACACACACAGAGAGAGAGAGAGAGAGAGAGAGAGAGAGAGAGAGAGAGAGGCAGAGACATAGGCAGAGGAAGAAGCAGTCTCCATGCAGGGAGCCTGACGTGGGACTTGATCCTGGGTCTCCAAGATCAGGCCCTGAGCTGAAGGTGGCGCTAAACCACTGAGCCACCTGGGCTGCCCTTGAAGAATTTTAAATATAATGTTAACTAACATCTCATAAATATATTCCATAATATGGAGAAGTACATTAATAATTTTGGGAAATTAAAGTCAGTAGTTTTGAGAATTTGAGTAATGCTACATCATGACAGGCATTGATGACTACAACCAACCATTGTAGACTTATGCTTTGGCTCTATTTGGACTTTTTCAAAACAGCTATTAAAACATTTTGGGGATATATATATATATATATATATATATGCAGATGAGTATGCAAATATGCATAACATATATATATATATATACACACACACAGTTATGTTTATGTATGCATAGACTAAATCTGGAGAAGTACAAAGGAATAATTAAGAGTAGTTGCTTCAGGAGTCAGATGGGAAACTGGTTCTGCACTTGTTTTGTGAAGTTAATATTTTTATTTCTCTATTTTTATTTTGTACTCAAATACATGTAACATTAAATTTACCGATAGTGACATTTAGGGCATTCACAGTGTTGTGTAGCCATCACCACTATCTAGTTCCAAAATTTTCATTGCCCCAAAAGGAAACCATGTACACACTAAGCAATCACTCCCTGTTTCACCTTTCCCCATGTCCTGACAACCACTTATCTGCCCTGTGGATTTGCCTATTCTAGATATTTCATACAAATGGAGTTTTCCTACATTATGTCGTTTTTTTATGTCCGGCTTCTTCCACTTGGCAAAATGTTTTCAAAGTTCATCCATATTGTAGCATGTATGAGTACATCATTCTTTTTATGGCTGGGTAATATTCCATGGGATATCACATTTTGTCTGTTTATCAGTCTGTGGACTTCTGGGTTCCATCTTTTGGCTATTGTGAAGAGAACTACTATGAACACTCATGTACAAGTTTTGTTTGAATAACTGTTTTCACTTCTTTTAGGTATATACTCAGAAGTAGAACTTTGTGCTCATATGGCAATTCTGTGTTTAATTTATTAGTGAATTAATAGTATGCTTTTGAATATCTTTATTAATAGCACATATAGATCTAAATAGCTCTATTTCTTTGAACAGTTTCATAATATTTTGTCATATGGCTGTTTCCTGTTGGAAGACATTTAGGTTGTTTTTGTTTTCTCGTGCTTATAAATAAAAGTGGGGAGAACATTGTTATGTGAAAATTTTTGTGTACTTCTCTAGCAAGATAAAGTAGAATACTGGGTCAAAAGATACGTGTTTTCAAAATTTATATTGTTAAATTCTTCCCAAAAAAGTTGTTCCAATTTATACTCTCACCAACAGTATGTGTTCCTGTTTGCTTTCTTTTGATTACTTGTATTCTTTTTTTTTTAATATTTTATTTATTCATGAGAGACACATACAGAGAGAGAGAGAGAGAGAGAGAGAGGCAGAGACACAGGCAGAGGGAGTAGCAGGCTCCATGCAGGGAGCCTGATGTGGGACTCGATCCCGGATCTCCATGATCACACCCTGGACTGAAGGCGGCACTAAACCGCTGAGCCACCCAGGCTGCCCATATTCTTTTTTTAAAATTACTTTTATTCTAGATTAAACATAGCTAATGGGATCATTGTCCTATGACATTTTGATCATGGTTATTATGTTTATTATGTTAATCATGTTTACTAGGATATATTTTATCCTTTATAATAATAGTATTTACCATTTTTCTAAGGAATCAGTAACATATGCTAGGTACTTTACATATATTCACTCACTGTTACTTTATTTATAGATGGCTCAGAGAGATTGTGGCTTAGGACATTCAGTTAGTAAGAGGCTAAACTAGGACTTCAAACAAAAATTTTTACCAATTTCTCATGATTCATTCCAGAGGTATTCTGTGCATATAGAAACATAAATGTGTGTATGGGTATATGCATGCATGTGCATGGAGAAAAAGTGTTTAATAGTTGTAAACTTTATTTTTTTTAAATTTTTAATTTTTTTATCTTATTTTATTTATGATAGTCACAGAGAGAGAGAGAGAGAGAGGCAGAGACATAGGCAGAGGGAGAAGCAGGCTCCATGCACCGGGAGCCCGACGTGGGATTCGATCCCGGGTCTCCAGGATCCCGCCCTGGGCCAAAGGCAGGCGCTAAACCGCTGCGCCACCCAGGGATCCCTAGTTGTAAACTTTAAAATAGTGTGTTGTTGACATACGGACAAAGCAAAAATGTGCTCATTAGCCAGTGGTTCTTGAAACATAGCTTGTGGATTAATCACCTATCAGAATCACCTTAAAATTACAGATGTCTGGGGTTCATCTTACAGATGCCTGGGAATCTCCATTTAGATAAGCAGCTTTATAAAAAAAGCAGCTTAGGTAATTTTTATACCCATGAAAGGCAGTATTCTAAAAATTATACATAGTGACATAATTGCAGATTATAGAATCAGCATAGGGGAGTATGACCAACATTTTAGAAAAATGAACTAGAACAATAGAAAATATTACAGTAGTATTAAAGGAATTTTCTGTGATTTTTTTATTTTTCTATTATATACATGTATTGCGTTTTGGGTTACAATAGAACAATGTATCTCATGGCATGCCCATTTCATGGCATAGGTCATGATCAAAGTTTTGAAATTCACTGTATTACAGTTGAAAATCATTGATTTAAGCCCTCCTCTCCTTTCCCCCTCTATATTTACCCCAGGTAAATACTTCTTCATTA